TGCTGTGTGTATTAATAAGGAAAAAAATACCTTAAATGATTTAAGCAAATGGCTGCATTATAACAAAGAGTGAAAAATATAAGGGGGTCTGAATACTTTCCGTACCCACTGTAGGCTTTATTGTTGGTAATGTATACCTTCACATGGTTGACAGAGTGTGTTGACGTCCAGATGTGTGGTCTGGTTGCTGATGGTGTTGTTGATCACACAGCTGTAGGTGTTTTTATCCTGATATTCCACCTCCAGAGGTAGAGAGAGACTGATGCTGAGATCAGACACACTGATGCTGGACAATACACTGTTTCCTTTGTACCAGGAGAGACTCACAGCGCTCACATTCACCACTGAACACAACACTGAACAATAATGCACTGATGAAGATGAGGAGAAAGAACACTGTGACGAGTTGAGGTGAGGAACAGGCAGACGAGCTTCAAAACCCAAGACAGTAATGAATTATTAGTTGAGTATTTAGTGTTAAAGGAGTGTAAATAGCCAAATGTAAGAATGTTTACTCACCATAGACAGAAACACTGAATATTTTTGACATCAATTTAACACCATTTATCTCAAGCTGATATTCTCCAGCATGTTTAGATTCGATGTTTGTGATGGTCAAAGATGCAGTCTGTCTGTCCACCTTCAGTCTGTCTCTGAATCTCCCATCATTTGTGGAGAATAATACGTTTTTAATGCTTATTTTAGCTATGAGAGAGTTTTCGGCTACAAATTTCCATGTTACATCATCATCTATATCTATTACACTAACATCAGTGTTTAAAGTGACTGAATCTCCCTCCATCACTGAGACGGACTCACCAAAAACACCTAGAAAACATGAAGAGGTATTAAGACTTGTTTATATTAGAACTCAGCTGTAGATTTGTAATGTACATGTAAACTAAATAACCATTTCAACAACAACAGAGACACAAATACATGATAACCTCATCTTTATATATATATATATATATATATATAACTATATATCACTGGCCACTTAATAAAGTACACCTTACTATGATAGCATCACACATGGTCCGTTATCCTGCATCAGAAGATGGGTACACTGTGGTCATAAAGGGATGGACATGGGCAACGACAATAGTCAGGAAGGCTGTGGCATTGACATGATGCTTAATTGGTACTAATGAGCCCAAAGTGTGCCAAGAAAATATCTCACACACCATTACACCCCCACCACCAGCCTAAACTGTTGATACAAGGCAGGATGTTTCCATGCTTTCATGTTGTTGATGCCAAATTCTGACCCTACCATCCGAATGTGGCAGCAGAAATTGAGACTCATCAGACCAGGCAACGTTTTTCCAATCTTCTGTTGTCCAATTTTGTTGAGCCTATGTGAATTGTAGCCTCAGTTTCCTGTTCAGGAAACCTGGTGTGGTCTTCTGCTGCTGTAGCCCATCCGCCTCAAGGTTGGACGTTTTGTGCATTCAGAGATGCTCTTCTGCAGACCTCAGTTGTAACGAGTGGTCAATTGAGTGTTGGAATATTAAATCAATTCCATGCGTGTTCATGAAAAAAGGTCAGGAGAGGTTTTTCTTCAATGTCAAAAATCATAACAATTTATTGGATACAAATGAATAATTCGATTCACAGAATTCTGTTATCCTCAGTGCAATGCAGAAGTTACATTAAGGAGGTGCGCAGCCACTTTCTTTTCCCGACTTCAACTTATATAGGCAGCTGATATTAACAGGTGGAGTTTAATGAAATTCGTCATTTGTCAGTCATTGTTCAGTCCTCCATTGGCCGCACCCCAGAAATACTTCCTCTTTTTCTACAAATTTTCTGCACAAAAAAAAAAAGCAAACAACTTTCTGTGCTCCTTGTTCAGTTTTAACACCTCTCTTCAGACAGGAAGATTCTGCAGAGCTGAATTTAACTTTGGACCCGCATTTTTCTACTTCTGCAAAAATGCTAATTAGTATGCACAGCACTCACACACAACAGTAGAAGTTCAGTTAATATATGACCCTTACATGGCCAATAAAAAGTAATTGTTTGATTATAAATAAATAAATAAATAAATAAATAAATAAATAAATAAATAAATAAATAAATAAATAAATAAATAAATAAATAAATAAATAAATAAATAAATAATTAATTAATTAATTAAAAAATGATTCCTATTTTCCAACATCAGTTACTGTTGCCTTTCTATCAGCTCGAACCAGTCTGGCCATTCTCCTCTGACCTCTGGCTTAACAAGGCATTTGCGCCTACAGAAATGCCACTCACTAGAGATTTTCTCTTTTTCTGACCATTCTCTGTAAAACCTAGAGATGGTTGTGCGTGAAAATCCCAATAGATCAGTAGTTCCTGAAATACTCAGACCAGCCCTACTGGCACCAGCCATTATGTCATGTTCAAAGTCACTTAAATCACCTTTCTTCCCCATTCTGATGCTTGGGTTGAACTGCAGCAGATTGTCTTGACCATGTCTACATACCTAAATGCATTAAATTGCTGCAATGTAATTGGCTGATTGGAAATTTGAGTTAACAAGCAGTTGGTCGCTGGATGTAAAATATATATATATATAAAAAAAAAAAAAAAATATATATATATATATATATATATATATATATATATATATAGTAGAAAAGCAGCCTAAAAATATTTCAACAGCTCAATTCAATGATTTTGACTTTCAAAGCCTCCACATGCAGATCATAACCAGAAACATTTACAAATTATTAGTGGATCTCACAAGCAGTAGATGAGAATTCACTTGAGCTCATGAATGGAAAGAAATGCTATAATAACTTACCAGCGCAACATCTCCAGAACAAGCAATACAAAACAAACATCTGAAACATGTTCTTCAACAGTTCTGCTTCACTTAAAGACCTCCCGCTCCAAACACTGAAGATGGTGTGTGTGTGTGGGTGTGTGTGTGTTTATGAATCCTCTCACAAGCGTTTGACCCTCCTATTGCTTTTTATACAGTGACCTTTATAATTGGACTAAAGTTTTCTGGTCGATGGAAATATTTAGTATTTTTAGTTTATGCTAATAGAATAACATGTTTTTTTTGATGATGATGATGATTTTCTGACTGTTGAATGGCCAAATGCAGATACTATGTGTTCGATGAACTATATTTCATAACAAAAATTGCAAAAATGTTTTTTGTTCTTTGTATTTTTTGTCTCGTTTCTAGCCCAAATATCAAAAAATCCTTAAACCAAAAGGCCTATTCTAGACAAGCTAGATGTATCCTCTTGTTTTAAGAAATTGTATGACAGAATTAAGTGAGTTTTACCTTAAAACAAGCTAAATAATCTGCCAATAAGATAAATGAAATAATCGTATGCCAAAGCAGAAAACAATATTATTTTTGTTTGTTTAACTTAATTTTGGTATATTATTTCTGAAAACAAGATTTGAAAAAATTCAGATATTTGGACTAGACATTAAAGCGTGGTGTGTGGAAATATCACATTGACGTTGGCACCTCACAGAAGCAAGTTTCCTGAGGTTCATCCTCTGAGTCAAACTGAAAGCAGTTGACTTTGTGAACTGTGGGCTGATCTATTTGGTGGGCTGACAACCTGCATTGGGGGGCTTCAAAGGAAGTATTAAGAGCTTGCAGGTGAAGTGTCTCTTTCTGCTATGCACAGCTATATCTCTGTATTCAACATTTGTAATAACAGTACAACGATATGATCAGTTTTCACTTTGAATGGCTTTAAAGACTGCCCATTTTTTGTTTGTGTGTTGACTCTCTCTATTAGATTCAGCTTTTTGTGCATTTTTGTGGTTTTCAATTACCCACATTAGCATTTCTCACAAAAGATTGTTTAAAGATGTGTTACTAGTGAACTCCTAGCATTTGCAAGGCACCCTGCCTTGGTGGCCTTTTAGTACCCTTAAAAAACCCTTGCAGCTGCATTTAACCCTTTCATTAAGCTACCAGTGCTGAGCAACCTCCAAACTGAGAGATGAGGTTGAGAAGGTCTTTAGTCAGGTAAATAAGGTGCCCAAAAGTAAATGGATGTGTCAAGCTTTTATCATCATACTCGAAAAGTCTTTGAGTGAATTTGTTGTATTTTTATAGAATTTTGACAAAAAATAATTAAGTTAATCTGTTTTGAAATTACCAAAAATTCTTGGTTCCCAGAACATTTTAGAGTGGTTATTTCAAAACTAACCTAAAATAACCTACACCGAAAGATCCCTCATGGTTATTTTTAGGTTATTTAGAAACATTATTTTGAATAAAATAAACCTAACCTTTTTATTTAAAAATAACCAATCTGCAATGATCTGGAAATTTATTAAAAAAAAATTAAACCTAAAAAGAAAGACCCCTCAACCTGAGCACATTCAATCTGTCACACAACTGCTGAAATATACCTGTGGCTGTTGTGTGTATGGCCGAGCGTTAAACTTACACTCAATTATTCGTCCATAGAGTATACACAGTCAAACTCTAGCTTTTGCTTTGTTACTTTTAAATACCGAAAGGGAAGTTTAAATTGCTACAAAAGTACTACAAATAATAGACATAATATTAATTATTTTTCTGTCTTTACAAATTATGGTGTAAGCTGTTTGGATAACTTTCTTAGACTTTACTGGCAATTGTTCTTCTCAATATCTTTATTTTATTAAACTATAACAAAGAGGGAAAAAGTATGCATATAATTACATTTACTTTAACATGTTCAATTCAACCAGCTTGATATTAACATTTTACTAATGTAGTTTTTATACAAATCTTAACAAAGATATAAGTAAAATCTGTTAAATGAGGCCATTTGTATTAAATATTATAAAAAATGCTTTACTGTTATAATCAGTCTCTATTGATTAAGTAGCACAATTATAGAGAAATGTAATGTTCAGCTTTGGGCACTAGAGAGCGACAATGTGCTTGTGTCATATTTGTCCAAATATGCAGGAGAGCACATCTCGTGATAAACAAACACAACAAAAGCGGTACATGACAGACAAATGAGTCCAGAGAATGGTGTGATTTCATATTTAATAACAAATGATATTTGGAACATCTGAATGAGCTTATGGATGCTCTTAGTGAACAAAATGAGCGACAACCACACTAAAAGATACAAAGAATGAAAACAAAATATTAAATTGAAAGAAAACCAAAAAGTGCAAGTAAAACAGCATGAGTTCTGACAACCACAAAATATACAATCACCGGCTTTTGTTTTTGGGGACATTTTCATACACAGCATTCGTCTTGTCTGATTTCTGCAAGGAAAAACAAACTCAGTCAGAAATCTTGATAATGCAGCAGAATTGTTAGTTCAATGTAAGATTATCTCTCAACCAAAACAAAATTATTTAATAACTTTATGAACGCATATGCAACATATTTTACTTCAGTATGACATTTTAAAATCTGAAATCATTTTTTATATATAATTTTTACTCCAAAGGTTGTTTTTTAACACAAAGCTGCTTGTTGTTGCCTGAAAATGATGGTGATTATTTGTCTGCTCTAATTAGGTTCTATAAAAAAAGTTGCTTGTCTGCCACCTAGTGTACAGAAAACGCCACTACCTTTCAGATTTTGATTGGGGCAGCAAGTGAATGTAATGACACAGAATAACTCGATTTTTTATGTGCAAATTCCTAACATTGATTTATTTTTTGAAGAACCACTGCTGCTACAGAGCAGATGCTACAGGAAATGACATCAGTCATAGTTCGTCACAACCGTTACCTCATCAAACATTTTAGATGTAAAGCTCGTCACAGCAGCCTCAGAGCTGAGAATGGTTGACTTTGACACAAAAGCAACAAAAAAACTTGTTAAAACGCGTCGACAAAACAACTAACGACTACTTAAAGGTGCACAGCATGAATTAGCATGAACACAGCAGCTTCAGCTCGAGGCCAGACTCCAGCACAGGTAAACTATTGTAGTCAACAATTCTGTGTCTTTTTAAGGTTTAAATAGGCTACAACCAACATCATAACACCTAATAAAAGTAATAGACGCAATAACTCGACACAATCTTGACTGAACGGTGTTAAGTTCTGATGAATTCAATATTGAACACTACTGTCTGTTTTAATGTGACACTAACTCTTTATATTCATTTCGGTTGTAAGTTGTTCACCTTTTAGTTCTACACAGGGTTTAGTCTTGTGTACTGGAATGGTAAGAGATTCGTGAACTGAAAAAAAGCAACGTTTTGCTAGGTTTCCGGGTTGAGTGACATGTTTCCTGGAAATGATGTGCAGCAGGGTTTGAGATGCTCTTTCTCGTTTGGTGGGTGTGCCTAAAAAGTGTCAGCCCAGCTGTGAAGTGCATATAAAACATGAGCTAATAAAGAGACAGCTCGCAAAGTGGGTACAAGAGCAAGAATTGTTTGCACGTTCTATAACATTAAAAGCAGAATAAGTGAGATAAGAAATGAGCATTTTATCAGGCTGTGTGTAGGTTCAGTGATATCACTTTTATGGCAAATAATAATTCATTTTTATGGTCTTTAAAGTGAAATAACTCAATATAAACAAAGGATGCTGAGAAGAAATGTTTATAAATCTAGAACTTTTATAAGCTTTAGTCTGTTTGAATATCATGTATTCAAGTAATTGCAATGTCTTATCATCCATAATGTGATATATAAATATCTATATGTTTTTCTTACATTTATTAGATTAGATTAGATTCAACTTTATTGTCATTACATGTGTACAAGTGCAAGGCAACGAAATGCAGTTTAGGTCTAACAAGCAGTGCAATAGCAGCAAGTGCAGGATACACAGGTATAAGTTATAAAGTACAGTTATAGAAAAACTATGGTGATATTTACAGATGGATGTACCATGAACACTATATACAGGTTGTATTAGCTATGAACAGCATCTAGCGCAAATTCCTTAGAAAAGGATAGGCCTTAGGAAGGTGTGCTAGACACTTATTAATGCAAAAAACAACATACAAATATATAAACATTTTGCTATTGTATTGTGGAATAATACTTTCTTAAACTTTTCTGTGATTTTATATAATGTTAAGTATCAACCACAGTGATCAGTAATGAGCAATAATACACACTATAAAAATTACAAAGCCATACATTCATAACAGTCTCAGAGGTAAGTTGATTGCTCTTTTCATTAAATGTTTATCTTTATATTCTATAATGTGATGCAAATGTTGGATCACAATAATTAGTTTCCGCTTCTCTTTGCTCTATTGTGATGTTCTCTTATTCTGGATAGTAAGGGGATATACAGTAATATTAAGCTTATTTTGCACTTCTAAAAGTGTATTTATAGTGATTTCATATGGAAAAAGAAAAAAAAAACTACACAAACAATGGCCTTCTCAGCTATCAAGAGTATTAACATCATCAACGCACCACCTTTTCCATATAAAAACAAAAACACATTTTTTGTTGTTGCTAAGCGCAGGCTAGATTAAAAAAAAAAAAATCAAAACACAAATTTCCCAAATACTGACTCGCAACTCACTTTTGCCACCAAGATGACTGACAGACAGTATTAATCATGGCTACATGTTTGGAATTTGCTATTCCTGAATTATTTAATATTAAACCAAAGCTTTGTGTTTTCACAGTGCAAGTCTTTTAAGTGCTGTCTGCCTAAACTGTTGCCTACATATATTGATCTGAATTTGGGTCAGTAAAGTTAATCTACTGGATTGCCAGGCACAATGTTTTGCTTTTATTTTACTCAGTCCCCAACAATCTATGACAAAATTTAAAAAAAAAAAAAAAAAAAAACATTGCTAGTGACATCGACTAAATCGCACAAATATAAAGATACCTGTTGTTCCAGTACCCAAATTATAAGCAAGATTTAAAATTTTGCTATAATATTTTCTTTTCTTTTTTTTTACAAGCTAAGCTAGGTGGTTCATTCCTCTGTGGTGACACCTGATAAATAAGTGATTAAGGCTAAGGAAAATTAATATATGGATTACAATCTAAGCTAAATCTTTTATAAATTAACTTTTGAGCAGAATGGTCCCTCGTGTGGGATTGTTGTTTCTGTGCCGCCCGTTGTTCCGTCCCACATACTGGAATTAGAAAGTAAAGAATGTAGCTAAAATTTCAAACATGGATTTAAAATCGGCCACTGTTCTTAATTGAGACTTATCGCCTCATCATGGAAACTAAATGGAATACAGGGTAAAATTCTAAAGCTGTTCAAAAACTCGAGAGAAACTTGCAGATGAAAGGGTTAAAAATGGAACCCAATATTTTATATTACCATATCTTATAAACCATAAAAGCACAAACTAATTTTTGCCTAAAGCAGTTCCATAAAACTCTTAATGTATGATAGCATAACTTATCATAAATAATATTTTTTGGGGTCTAAAAGTTGAATTTGATAAACACTCAATGGCCACTTTATTAGGTACTACTGCCTTTATTAGGTATTACTGTCCAACTGCTCATTAATGCAAATTTCCAGTCAGACAATCACATGGCAGCAACTCAATGCATTTAGGCATGAAGACATGGTCGAGATGATCTGCTGCAGTTAAAATTGGGCATCAGAATAGGGAAGAAAGGGGATTTAAGTGACTTTGAACTGGGCATGGGTGTTGGTGCCAGACGAGCTGGTCTTAGTATTTCAGAAACGGCAGATCTACTGTAATTTTCATGCACAAACATCTTTACGGTTTACAGAGAATGGTCTGAAAATATCAAGTGAGCGGCAGTTCTGTGGGCACAAATGCCTTGTTGATGCCAGAGGTCAGAGGAGAATGGCCTGACTAGTTCCAGCTGAAAGGCAACAGTAACTCAAATAACCACTCATTACAACCGAGGTCTGCAGAAGAGCATCTTTGAACACAAAACACATCCAACCTTGAGGCGGATGGGCTACAGCAGCAAAAGACCACACCGGGTGCCACTCCTGTCAGCTAAGAACAGGAAACTGAGGCTACAATTCACTATGATTAGAAAAACGTTGTCTGGTCTGAGTCTCGATTTTTGCTTCCACATTCGGATGGTAGGGTCAGAATTTGGCCTCAACAACATGAAAGTATGGATCCATCCTGCCTTGTATCAGCAGTTTAGGCTGCTGCTGGTGGTGTAATGATGTGGGAGATATTTTCTTGTAACACTTGGCCCAGTAGTAACAACTGAGCATCGTGTCAACGCCACAGCCTACCTGAGTATTGTTGCTGACCATGTCTATCTATTTATGATCAGTGTACCCATCTTCTGATGGCTACTTCCAGCAGGATAACTCGCCATGTCATCTCACACTGTTTTATTGAACATGACAATCAGTTCACTGTACTCAAATGGCCTCCACAGTCACCAAATCTCAATCCAGTAGAGCGCCTTTGGGATGTGGTGGAACGGGAGATTCATCTCATTTATGTAGAGCTGAGAAATCTGCAGCAACTGAGTGATGCTATCATGTCAATATGGACCAAAATCTCTGTGGAATGTTTCCAGTACCTACTTGAATCTGTGCCATAAAGGATTAAAGCAGTTCGGATGACAAAATGGGGTCCAACCCGGTACTAGTAAGGTGTACCTAATAAAGTGGCCGGTGAGTGTATTATAAATGCATTTTCTACTAAAAGTGCTCTGATTTCCTACCACTACTGACTTTATTTCTATAGCACTAATCTGCACGAAAGAGTTGACTTGGCTTAAATAAAAGAATAGGTTTGCGAAATGGAAAAAACATACTCGTTATTTAAACTAAAGTGCAAACCCGACGTTTAAATGGAATTTTAAACACGTATAGCTCTTTTCATCTGCCCCTTAACTAGGCCGGCCATAATAACAATGACAGTTGGACCAAAAAACCAAAGTCTGTTCACTGACCGTCTGATGTACATTTCACACACAACTTCAATCAGCAAACTTCAATCACACAAACCGTCTGCAACACGTCCTGCAGCACCTTCATCAATGATCTCACCACTGTTCGTGTTTTAGGATCACACTTCGCTGAACTCTTTCTCTCTTGACCTGTTTTTCTCCATTTCTTGCAGCACATCACGACGATCACTACAATCAGCACAGATGCAGCGGCGCAGAGGAACGCGATGTTAAATACAGGTAGATCATCTGTGATGAGCAAAACCAGTCATTAGACTGACTGAATCTGATAATATAGGCTTGATTATTGGTGACACATACCTGGACATGGCTGACAGTGTGTGTTGATGTCCAGATGTGTGTTCTGGTTGCTGATGGTGTTGTTGATCACACAGCTGTAGGTGTTTATATCCTGATATTCCACCTCCAGAGGTAGAGAGAGACTGATGCTGAGATCAGACACACTGATGCTGGACAATACACTGTTTCCTTTGTACCAGGAGAGACTCACAGCGCTCACATTCACCACTGAACACAACACTGAACAGTTATAATGGGATGTTGAAGATGAGGAGGAAGAACACTGGGAATAGTTTCTGATGATGACAGGAACAGGCAGGCGAGCTGGAAAATAAAAGATAATAAACAGCAACATGAACTGATAATAATAGTCTAATCAGGTTTGATCAGTTCAAACTATAATAAGAATAAATATTACAGCAGCGATGTTAGTTATGAATTGCATTATGGGACCTTGATCCCTTGAGTGACTTACATTGACATGTTTAAATAGTTTTGGACTGATATAGATACTTGGACTTAGTCTCTATTCATCAGGGTTTGCCACAGCGGAATGAACCACCAACTTATCCAGCATATGTTTTACGCAGAGGATGCCCTTCCAGCTGCAACCCAGCACTGGAAACACCCATAAACACTCATTCACACATAGGATCGGCCAATTTAGTTAATCCAATTCACCTATAGCACGTCTTTGAATTGTGGAGGAAACCCACGCTAACACAGGAGAACATGCAAACTCCACACAGAAATGCCAACTGACCCAGCCGAGGCTCGAACTAGCGACCTTCTTGCTGTGAGGCAACAATGCTGAGCCACAGTGTCGCCCTTAAAACAACATATTGTATAAGAAATAATATGTAGGGCTGCGCAATATATCCATTTTAGCAGTGATACTGCAATGCGCACATACAGTAGGCAATGGTCACATCGCAAGATATGCAATGTTGAGTTGTGACAAGTCTTAAGTTGAGTCTGCCCTATTCGGTTTGTGACTGTATGAACATTTCAAGAAAAGTTAATCACAAGAAATTGTACTATTTGTAACTTTAATACCGTAAATAGAGGCCCGTAGCCAGGAGGGGTTCAGGTGGTTTGGAAGACCCATCCTTCACCAACAGAGAATCCAGAAATTGTCCCATGCATGAGCTTATTTGTGCAATTATGACTGCTATGCTATCATAAATAGTGAAAATAATCCATCGAAAAAGTCTTTAGGTCCAAGCAGAGTCCCCTTCTGGCTGTTGATCCGGCGTGACTTCAGCTAATCAGTTTTGGCCAATGCTAACAAATATTCTGCTGTAAGTATACTTTTTTCTCTACTGTATTGTTTTTAAACTGAGAAAAAAAATTCACAGGTAACTTCTTTATAAATCTTAAAGCATATTCCTGAGGCAAAAAAATGAGCAATAAAAAGGTGTGATGCACCAAAATCAGCCTATATTAAATTGATTTGAACACTAGTTTGCCTATTATTGTTATCCATTAATAGAGGCTAGAAAAATTGTGAGGCTTTACATCTATTATTATTATTGTTATTATTATATTTTTATTATTATTATAATGCTTTAAAAGTTTTTTTTTATTCAAATGGCCAATTTCTGCCTAAGAAAGGTTAAATGTGATGGTCAATTTGTTATTTGCCTAATAAATTAAAATAGACTACAGTTTTTAATTTTAAAACTTTAATAGATTCCTGTATTTTTTTTTTAATATGTGATTTAATATGTATTTTAAAAATCAGTATTATTTCACATTTCTTTATTATTAATCTTTAGGAAATGTGTTTAGTATATAAAAAGTGTGGTTCTGATGACCATCCGACAAGCTAATCCAGTAAAAAAAAAGTGCTTAATGTTACTAAAATGCAGTATTTAAATCTCATAATTAAATAGAAAATGAGGCATATAACTGCAAAAAGGTTCACTTTTTGAGAAAATAGAACCACCCCATTTAAAAGGTTGGCTACTGGTTTGAGATACATTTTATTTTATTAATTATAAAATAAAGCTAATGCAGGGCTTTTTCACAATTGATTTTTCCAATTTCTGTACCTGAGTGCAGTTTGAAAAAAAACATAAAGCATCATCACTTCTAATTTGTTTATTATTTTGATGCATGATTCAATTCCCTGTTGCAATCCGTCTGAATTAATGAACACTTTCCAAATAGAGTTATTCAAGGCATCTGATGAAACTGTGTTCATAGCGCACTATTTATCGCAGAAAAACAAAATATTGCAATGTCATATTTTTCCAGCCCTAATGTGTAGTATTAAGTCTGTAAAATAACAGAAAGCTCTGTAGTTTATTACCAGATTTTAATACTGTAATTTAAAATGTTAACCCTGGAAATATATTGCTCCAAACTATTAAAAAAAAACGCCAATAAAAGTCACTTTTAAACTTTTTAACCTCAAAAGTTGATAAAGTCCCACAATGCAATTCAAAATTATAATTGAAATAAAAAACATGAATCACAAAATACAGAAAAACTGTAAAATATACAGATATTTTTTATAGTGAAAACCTTAAATCCCTAAAAAATGTAAAGTCTGTTTTAATCAGCTTTACAGCTCAAATAATGTAAATGTAATCAGACTTTACATAATAATTGAGGTCGATGCCAAATCATGTTTACATTTTTAATAATAAGATAATCTAGTGTCTGTTTTCATGCTATCAGTAAATTGTTTTTAGACCCTTCTCAATAAGTGCTAATTATCATTTAGATGTCATTACTTATTATTTTCATAAGTCTGTAATGTGAATTAAAAAGTATCCTTTTCACTAGTAAGTTTACTATACAGTATTTAGTGCATCTCTCTGAACTGCTAATTTTATAATGTTACGCTGTTTTCCATTTTAGTTACTATGCCGACGCATCAACCGTTAATCAATAAGACAAATTTTGTCAGTTACATTTAAAATTCTGTACATTCTATATTCCATGTGTTGTACAGAACTCCCAAGGACACAGAAATGACAATCCCACAAGTGGGACATGGTCAGTGGGACCACAACTGGCCTAACCCTAACCCTTAAGAATGTAAGAGTAAATAAAGATTTTATATAACTTTTAACATTTAATTTATAAAACAAACTAGTATTTATTTCACATTGCTATTTAAATACTAGCATCTTTCTCATTAAGTACAACTGATGATTTAGAGACGAATGCTTATTATTTTTGATTCTAGTGCTTCTTAAGTTATTAGCATGGCCAGACAGAATCTGCAAAGAGTTTTGCGGAGTGATATTATTATTATTATTTTTTCCGAGTGAAGTAACTAAAAACATGCAAAATTAGATTCACCTGTTTGGTAAACAAAGCAAGTCATTCATGTAACATATCTATTAAAAGAATTAAAATATGACTTTAAAAACTGTTTTGTACATATATCATCAATGTTTGCATATTCAATAATATTGTTGGAAGTAATATAAAATGTGATAAAATATATTTAATAAGTAAATAAATACTCAATGATAGGCAAACAAAAACAATCTGTGGATTTATGCACATTCAGATTCTTTGTGGGCCTAGTTAGTACTTTTTAAAAATGTATTTATTAGATGCTAAAATTAGTTGTGACCCTGGACCAGGTTGTAGGTCGAACGGGAATATTTTTGGGAATAACCAACAATATATCTTATGAGGCAAAAATCGTAATAATATTAAATAAAGATCATGTCCCATGAAGACATTTTGTACATTTCCTTCTGTAAATGTATATTATTATTATTATTATTATTATTATATTAGTAATATGCACTAAAAACTTAATTTGGACATCTTAAAAGGTGATTTTATTCCTAATATTTAGACTTTTACATTTATTAACATTTTATTTATTTATTTAAATTTATTAAATTTCCTATTTTATTTACCTGTATTTCAAACAAAAACTGTCAAATCAATGGAAAGCGTTTTTATTTGGCTTCCAGATTATGTATAAATCTCAGTTTTCCAAATTAACCCTTATAACTGATTTTATGGTCTTGGTTCACATTTATTAGGATCTATTTTTACTCTTTGAATAGCAGCAGTCATCTTCATTAGCGACACCCAACTATTATGACTTTGAATTGTGGAGATCCGTCACAGAGAGATCAACTGTTCCCTTTTAAAAAGCATGTATATTCTATTTGTGAATACTCTATTTGTGAATACTTTATTCATAAGGTAATAGTATTAATTTATAATTTTTTTTTTAAATTATGAACTAGTACCTTATTACCAGGATCAGGCAGAATTTGCCGACATTTTTAACATTTCTGTGTAGAATTTAATGCAAAATCTGGTATATTTACGCAGAACATGTTTTGTAGTAAAGCAACTAAAAACTTAAGACGTTTAAATAAAAGAAATATCTTTTAAACTTCATTTAAAGTTTACAGCGCAAATCCAATTAGCACCACTTGTATGGTAAACAAAGTAAAATGTTAAATACGAAAAGAACCACAGAAAATATTACTTTACAAACTGTATTGTACATAATTTATATCAACATGTCCATATTTTTCAATAATATCACTGAAGTTAATATAAAACGAATAAATAAACACATGTACACACATTTGTAAATAAATAGACTCAATGATGGGCTAAAAAATCCAGATTCCGCATGGGATACTTATTAACAATTCTTATTGCCTGTTACCAGTATTTATTCATTATTTATAGTTTTAGGACTTATTAAATACCTATTAAATGGAAACTAGTACTATTTATTACGAAGCGCATACTGATTAGCTGCTATTTTAGTACAAAAGATAATATTTAATAGATACCACTAACGGTAACGATATTTCAAATGTTTCTTGTTAGATTTTTTTAATATTTAAAATCTTCTTTGGCAATTCTGAATAGTTATAATATAAAAGTACGCAGTTGTAACCAGAAAGATATTACACACAAAAAAAAATCTTGTTGGCTTAATTATTTAGTTAAATCAAATTAACGTTTCCAGACATTTAAACTTGTATCAATTAAACTGATCCAAAATATTAAATTAAACTTTGCATAACTTCAAAAATGTAGTTGAATATTGATAAACGCATTAACATGTGTTGAAGTAATAATAAAAAAAAAATTGTAATACTGACTTTTCGTTAAAAAAAGTCATTTTTAGTGCACAATGTAAAAATGTAGGGTTCCAAACAATTGATTCATGTCATTCATGTTGTCCCAACACAAATCAATATAATCTAGGAAATTTAATTTGTATTTAACACTGACCCAAAAAATTGTCCTAAGAAATAAAGAAATGTGTTGTTTCTGTTACTGTAAACTTTACCCATTTTTGGGGCAATTTGTTCTTAAGCATAATAGATTTACAGCATATACTGTATATCATACAACACACTTAAGATAAACATTAAAAAAAACATTAATAGCACAACAAACAGTGGCTAACTCTTCCCATTTAAAATTTAGCAAATCAATCCCACAAGGAAGAAATTAAAGTTTAAATCTGTTGGTCCTTGCCAAAGGGGCCCTTTTTTGTAGCTATTATTTTAAATAACAGTTTGAACAAGCAGCAGTTTTTTGAGTGTAGTAGGTATTGTAAAAAGTACTCATCTAAACAATAAGCCTCAGCAGCTAATCAATAAGTACTAGTGCTTAAAGAAAAATGAGGTGAACAAAATATAAATACTTGTGTCTTGATTTGACTGTATGCTCCAAAAGAGCTATGAGCTGGAAAATTACTTTATAAACAGGTTATTTGTATTTTAAAGGACAAGACAAACAATCTGTACTCACCATAGACTGTAACTTTAAATCTTTTTGATGATGTATTATCTGAAAATATCTGCGCTTCATAAACTCCAGCATGTTCAGATCTGATGTTGATGATGGTCAGAGATCCAGTGTTATTGTCCAGCTTCAGTCTGTCTCTGAATCTCCCATTAGGACCATCCATTGTGGAGAAGGCCTCATAAGCTCTGTTAATAAGAGCTATTAGAGATTTATCAGCAATGAAGTGCCATGTTAATTCACCTTTGTGTAATTCAGTAACACCAGTGTGTAGAGTGACAGAATCTCCCTCCGTCACTATTAATGACTGCATTTCATTCCTACGGGAGCCAAACACACCTGGAAAACAAGAACAGGGTCAGATTTATTGACCGTTGCTTTACACAGTTTTGAATCTCTCAACTGTCTCTCTGAAGTGAGTTTTTAAACAGTTTTAGAACTTTAGACTGTATTCCATAGTGGCATGGCAAGCTTCATTTAAGAAGAGTGGCTGATTTCAAATTCTGGTAACATTCTAAATTCTGAACACTCTAAAGTCCATATGTGTGATGAAACTTCCAGCATCACAAATAAAACAATCCCACATGAGAACAATACTGCTCAAAATTAAATATGAAATCAATAATACCAGCAGAGACGCAACAGAAAACTAAATGCGACATACTTAATGGGTAAAATCATTGTATTTCAGTAGTCTCGCTCTTAAAAATTCAAAAAGCACGTTTTTGTAACACTACTTTTTTATACATTTTAGAAATCCACAAATTAGTTCAGAAGATTATTGGTAAACCTTTTGCCCTATATCTTCAGTAATGTATCTTCTGAATTGTGAAACTGCTCTACACCTTAGTCATGGACTAGAATCTGTGTTACAACATGTATCTAGCAAAAAAAAAAAGTTATTTTGTTGTGATTTTCTCCTACAACATTCCTTCGGCCAATATGTGAATAGATCAGATTACCATTTCATACCCTTAGAAAGACGGACTTGTATGACTTGCATCAGACATTTGATGATTTCTGGTATATCTGGAATCCTCCATGGGAGTTTTTAGAGAATGTATTTTGAAAGACTTTTTTATTTTATTTATTTGTTTATATATTTGTTTGTTTGTTTTTATTTGTTAATTTTACCCTTCACAAAAGACTTTAATTACTAGGCGATGGACGATTGAAATAATAGACGGCTATATTATAGTATATGGTAACATGAGACGCCTAAATCACTGCTCTGTCATTGCAAATCTTTAAATAATTATTTAAAATTATGGTTTCAAGCATAAAAAAAACAATAAACAAAAAACATTTTAGGTTCTTTGTAGAACTGTTGTATCTTTTGTTATATCAAGTATATCTGTTTTAAATGTAAAGAAGAGAAAATTAAAATGGTTTACCTAAAGTGAAAGTAGCAGCAGTTTAGTTTATAAAAAAGAAATAAAGCCTTAAAGTTATAAACTTACCTGTCTTGAAGCCCAAACACAACAAAATGAACATTTGAAGCATTTTTAAAAATAGTTCAGTGTCTGATCTAACAAGACCATGTGCTGATGACACACAGTCTCTTCATCTGTGTGTGAGATGCATTCTTCGATTTTGACCCTCCTTTTCATGCGCGCACTCACGCACACACACACACACACACACACACACACACACACACACACACACACACACACACACACACCGAACATGTCCTAATATTTATAATGTATACATGTAGTCTGTGTATGTGTTGAATCATATAAAAAGTGTACATTTAAACACTTTTTTACATCTTAAAGTTGATTTAAAATAATGATTTTTTTACTTGAAGTTGAACTGGATTAACTTTTTCAAGTTTTTCATACTTTACATTAAGCTGACCTAACATCAAGTTAAATTTTGTATACATTAAAAAGTGAAAACATGATGTTCTGCTGCTGTTATCACTTTGAAAAAATGTATGATTTATGAGTTGTAGTTATCCATTTGAGACCAAAAAAAATTACGAAATGGGTTTTTTTCTGTTTTAATACTGAATATTTCTTCCCAGTTTCAAAAACTTTTTAAATTTAGAGCATTTTTACATCATATTTTTACATAAAATACCAAAAGTTGCCTTTATTTCAGATTTTAAAACTAATGTTTACATAAAATAATACATATGCTTTCAAACTCCTGCATCTGTTTAATATTTAGCACATGAAAACTTTTGTAAATTTGACCAACTGTTAAAACAAAGGCTCTAAATAACAATATTTTTAAAATGAAAGATTGAAGAAATGTTATCAAACCTTTAAAAACATAAAACATACATATAATCCTTTACTACTGAAATGTAGCTCACAGAAGTAGGAGAGTCATAAACTGTGTGGAGTAATTCAATATAATAACAATAAAACAAATGATTTTAACTGCTTTTATGATCGTTCAGATGTTACAAGTGGTTCTGTATAAAACATTTTTTTCAGTCTTAACGAGTCAAGCTGGTGTTGCGAGTCAAACTGAAACCTGCTGCGGTCAGTGTTCTTCAGAAGCGTGTGTGATCTGGATGGACAGAGCTGGTGCACGAGTGTCCAATTGTTTGATGTGTGTATAGTATGTAGGTTAAAAGCTGCTTCCTGCTCCGCTATTAAGAACCTGAGATGCAGTCGCTTTCCTCACAGAACAGCTTTATATATTTAAAACAATCTGCTTAAATAGTCTGAGTCACTGGTGAGATTTATACTGGATTCTAGTGGATCATCAGGAATCAGTGTTGTGTTGTTTTTGCTATTCAGCAGTTACAAAACAGTGTTAGATTGGTTGAGGCATTTTTTTTTCCACATTGTGGTTTTTGCTATTCAGTAACTCTCACTGCATCATTTGCACAGAACACCATCTCTTTAATTTTCTAAAAGTATAACCTTTAAAGTCTTTAACTCTATTGTTTTGATTTTTTTTTTTTAGTTTATAAAGCAGCATTGTTACTTTTTTTTTTTTTTTTTTAAAGAGGCCTTATTATACATGAAATAGGTTCATATCTTGGTTTTAAGGGTCTCCAACAACAACTAATATGCATGCAAGGTCAAAAAACACTTTCATGGTCTTATAATCTGCATTTATTTTTACCTAATTATCCCAGCGACTCCCGTATGAATCGTCCAGTGATTCATTTGTTCCCAAACCCCTCCTTAGCGCGAAGCTAATCTGCGCTGATTGGACCAATGACAGTCTGTTGCGATTGGTCGACTGCCTTCAGTCAGAGAGTGAAATGCCCAACAGCTAATCAACAATATAAAGGTAATCACAGTTCATACACGCTCGATAGTGTAGGTGTGGATTTTAGCTCCCAGTGGGTCAATGTAAATACAGACTATGGACTTGAAAATTCAGACGATTAACTATTTTATTGAGCAAAAACTCCAAAAACTGTCGAGGAGATCTTCTAGCTTGTCTCACTCTGCTCTTTTCACAGACACACACACACACATATTGAGCACGCACACGCGCATAAACAGACACACACACTACCTCCTCCACTTTGCACCCGATATGAGAATAAAGCGAGTTAACCTGATACAGTACACGCGGTTATAAGTAACAAATCACAACTAAATACATTTGCAAGCTAGAGTCAACGAGGCATCTTTGAACTTACACTTGAGAAATGAAGGAAGAAACCCATCCTGACATGTCCAGCAGTAAGTTACTCTTTACTGATCCTTCCTTTAACAAACGCTGATGAAGTATTCTTTGTAGCATGTAGTTTCCAGTAGTTTCCAACTGCTTGGTTATAATTAATGCTGAGGTTTCATCTTTGGGTAGAGACTCAATAATATCCATCTGCAGGGTGACTTCAATCGACCGGCATGTTTGTGTGTGTGTGTGTGTGTGTGTGTGTGTGTGTGGGTGTGTGTGTGTCTGGGTTTGTGTCAGAGGGCGGGGCCTCAGGTTTGAAATCTCCCGGGTTTGCGCGTGCACGTGAATAACTTGGTTTCATTCGTATGTCATGGCGAAACACCTAATGACTCTGTATCAAGGCGACTCGTTTCAAGCACTATGAGTCGACTCTTTTATAGATGAATCAACCGTTTTAAACACTGTAACACTGTATTCTTACAGATTTAAGCCTTAGCTGGATACTTTACTTTACTTAGAGCTGTGTTACACACTACATGGAGGGGCATTTTCAAAAACCCATAATATGAGCTCTTTAATATGTATATGAAATTTAAATTTTTGGATGAACTGTCCCTTTAAATCTACATTGAAGGCATAAATAAGCTGCTCATTATGTAGATTTCCTCTCAAAATACTTCCAGCTCACATGGATATAAGGACAGGTTTAAAAAAAAAAAAAAAACTACACAGTCTGACACATTCATCATCACAAAATCAAGTGTTAGTCAGTTAACTTAGATTCAGTTCAATCAATTGTTTTGTTTGTTTCTGTGAAACATTACCGTCTGCTGGACAGTTGTGTGGCATGTTCAATTCCTGTGAGAGACATCCTGTGATGTAATACCTACAGTATACATATAGGTTGTTTTTGTTCATTGATTTTAGTGTCTCTGAGAAACATTGCCATCTGCTGGAGAGTGGTGTGAAATCAAATTGTAAGACACTGTCAATGGCACAGTGCATTTGAAAATACAGATATATTGTAGTCTGTTTAACTTGTATCAACATAATATCACATGTTTCTATTTTTTTTTCTTCCAAAATTCTTGCAATAGTTACACAAATTGGAGCAGGTGCAACTGCCAAGAGTACAGTAGTCAACATTTGAAGTGGATCAAATGTTTTTAAACACTTTTTCACACAGGGTTATGTAGTATTGGATTTTGTTTTCTCTTAATATTAAAACTTTCATTTAAAAACTGCATGATGCATTTACTTGTTATACTTGACTTTTTTTTATTTTATTTTTTTGATGATATGGAACATTAAAGAGCCCATATTATGGGTTTTTGAAAATTCCCCTCCATGTAGTGTGTAACACAGCTCTAAGTGAAGTGAAGTATCCAGCTAAGGCTTAAATCTGTAAGAGTACAGTGTTTAAAACGGTTGATTCATCTATAAAAGAGTCGACTCATAGTGCTTCAAACGAGTCGCCTTGATACCGAGTCATTACGTGTTTCGCCATGACGTACGAACGAAACTAAGTATTCACGTGCACGTGCAAACCCGGGAGATTTCAAACCTGAGGCCTCGCCCTCTGACACACACCCACAAACACACACACACACACACAAACATGCCGGTCGATTGAAGTCACACTGCAGATGGATATTATTGAGTCTCTACCCAAAGATGAAACCTCAGCATAATAACCAAGCAGTTGGAAACTACTGCAAACTACTGCAAACTACATGCTACAAAGAATACTTCATCAGCGTTTGATGGGTTTCTTCCTCCATTTCTCAAATGTAAGTACGTGCGATTAAAGTTGCCTCGTTGACTCTAGCTTGCAAATGTATTTAGTTGTGGTTTATTACTTGTAACCGCATGTACTGTATCAGGTTAACTGGCTATATTCTCTTATCGCGTGCTGCTTTGTTTACGAAGCTCCGTGGACGAGGGTAGTGTGTGTGTGCGTGCGCTGTCGTCCGGAGGTGTGTGTGTGTGTGTGTGTGCGTGCGTGTGTGCGTGCGTGCGTGCGTGCGTGCGTGCGTGCGTGCGTGCGTGCGTGCGTGCGTGCGTGCGTGCGCGCGTTGTCGCCCGGAGGTCTGTGTGTGTTTTTGTGTTTGTGTGCACAGACGATGGCACTGTGTGTGTGTGTGTTTGTGTCTGTTTGTGTCTGTGAAAAGAGCAGAGTGAGACTAGCTTGGATATCTCCTCGACAGTTTTTGGAGTTTTTGCTCAATAAAATAGTTAATCGTCTGAATTTTCAAGTCCATCGACCGTATTTACATTGACCCACTGGCAGCTAAAATCCACGCCTACACTATCGAGCGTGTATGAACTGTGATTACTTTATATTGCTGATTAGCTGTTGTGCATGTTACTCTCTGACTGAAGGCAGTCGACCAATCGCAACAGACTGTCATTGGTCCAATCAGAGCAGATTAGCTTCGCGCTAATGAGGGGTTTGGGAACAAATGAATCGCTGGACGATTCATACAGGAGTCGCTGGGATAATTAGGTAAAAATAAATGCAGATTATAAGACCATGAAAGTGTTTTTTGACCTTGCATGCATATTAGACTGTTGTTGGAGACCCTTACAACCAAGATATGAACCTATTTCATGTATAATATAGGCTCTTTAAAGTGTGATAACATGTAAAAAAAAAAAAAAATCAGTGAGGTGCAAACATTTTTTTGCACCACTCTACATATATATATATATATATATATATATAAAATATATATCCACCAAAACCTTAAAGCACTGTTTATTTCTATTGTAACTTTGCGCTATTTTTTTTCTACACTCACTGGCCACTTTATTAGGTACTAGGTACTACAGGGTTGGACCCCCTTTTGTTTTTAGAACTGCCTTAATCCTTCATGGCATAGAGTCAACAAGGTACTGGAAAAATTCCTCAAAGATTTTGCTCCATATTGACATGATAGCATCACACAGTTGCTGCAGATATGTCAGATGCGAATCTCCCATTCCACCACATCTCAAAGGTGCTCTGCTGTGAACTCCTGGTCATGTTCAAGAAACCAGTCTGAGATGATTTGCACTTTATGACAGGGCGTGTTATCCTGCTGGAAGGAGCTATCAGAAGATGGGTACTCTGTGGCCGTAAAGTGATGGACATGGTCAGCAACAATACTCAGGTAGACTGTGGTGTTGACAACTTGACACATTGCTCAATTGGTACTATGGGTCCAAAGTGTTTATTTTGGTAATGGGTCCAAAGTGTGCCAAGAAACCATTACACCACCAGCCTGAACTGTTGATACAAGGCAGGATGGATGCATGCTCTTAATGTTGTTGATGCCAAATTCTGACCCTACCATCCAGATGGCGCAGCAGAAAATTTGCGTTTACAAGAAAATGGACAGGTGTAACTAATAAAGTGGCCAGTTAGTAATTTGTAATTTCTTTTACAATATTGTGTGCCCTTTGACAGTATACTCACTGTTACAGTCATATGTATATGCCTGTTTGTTTTGCTTGTGTGTGTGCGCTCTCTTTCTCTCCCTCTCTTGCTTGCTCCCTCCTCCTCTCTCTGTCAGTTCTCAGGTTCGCCCATTCCAGTATCCCATTCGTCCGTGAAGACGTCAATCTCAATTACACCTTGTGACGTCATCAACTTCACAACCAATCAGCACAGGAGCTCAAAGTTTAAAAGGGATGCGAGCGGGGAAGCTTCTGCTTTTGCTCTGTCTTGCTTGCGGTCTTTGCTTGCTTTTGTGTGTGTTTTTGGCTTGTTGTTATGTGCTGTGATGTTGACGTGAACTTAGTTTTGATTTTGGTCTTGTTCTTGTGTTGATCGCTGTTACCGTCTTGGATGTGTATATGTGGCAATCCCCTGACGTCTGTCTTCAGCTTCGCCCTTGGATTCGAGGAGCTTAGTTGTCACGTGACATACATATTGCATCACGCAGATAACTCTACTATCTAAACACACTAGTTTAGAAGTGAGCGTCACCCGCTGTAAGTTTTCTTCGTATATTTGGTTAGAAGAGTAGATTAATTATAGCGTGAAACCGCTGAAGATCTTTTGTTTGGTTGTTTTGTATTAGACAGTTTAGAGGGTAATTAATAGTTAGAATTGGGGTTTTTGTTATATTTCTTTCATTTATTTGGTGCCACTTAACTCTCGTTTCCCCCACCATCTTTAATCTATATTGATTGATTTATGTTGTGAGATCTTGTAAATAATATTTTATTACTTTTCGACTTCCTTTCACTATTGTAAATAAATTCACTTCTTTTTGCAGTATTTTGGTTGTCGTGTTGATATTTTGCCACCAACTGACCACAAAATATTATCACCTTAAATGTTACCTTTTAAACCCTAGATACCAAAAAGTTAAAAGTCGTAACACTCACATAAAAATACTATATTGATTTATAGTAAATGCTATAGTATTTTTAACCACACTTAAGTGTATTATACTGTATCAAATGTCTACAACACTTTTAAAGTAATTCTACAGTAGTGAACTGATCAAAAGTTATGAATATTGTAGTATTCATTAGTTTTGTACTTAAGTAAGCTGTGGTTAGTGTAATATATTCTATAGTTAAAGAAAACTACAGCAATGGGTGGTTGTTGTGTTAGCATGATAACTATATTATAACCAAAACAGATTCATTTAAGCACTTTACTGCAGTATATGGTTCAAAAACACTAGTATTTACTTTAAATTACTACAGTTTTTTTGTTTTTTCACTCATAAAACAAGATGACACAATCTACAGCAGGTGGCACCCGACTACTCAAGGTGGCAACTTCCTCCTTTAAATACTACAGGAAAAGCAGAAGATAAAGAAAGTGAGTACTCGGTAGTTTAATGATTCAATGGAACAGATACTGGTATAAATGTCCTGTATGTGTGTGTTGTTTGTAGAGTGTGATTTTTCTGACTGTGTAAGCTCTTATAAAAACGTGATTTCCGGAAAGGTGTCGGTTTCTACCGCCATCCAAAAACCAAATTACTTAACTGCTTTCTATGCAAATACAAAATATAGTCATGCAACACTCACATATTCCGGATTCTACAAGGCGTTGTGTCATTTCACACTTCTCTTATTTTAAAATAGGTCTTTAGTCATTTTCTAGCTTAAACAATAGTGAAACAGCCTTACTACACGCATATCCGGTTAAATTCTGAAGGAGAAACAGCACCTTACACTTATTTTTTCCACCATGAGAAATAATGAAAATGAAACTCTACAACATGTGTGCTCAACCCGTAAGATCCATAGTAAGAAAGGATTTACTATTGAGGTCAGTGGGCATCAACCAGCATTCTTCAGAATATCTTCTTTTGTGTTCAGTAGAAGACATACAATCAAATGAGTTTTGAACAACTTAAAGATGGGAAACTGACAGAATTTTCAATATGGGGTGAAGTTCCGTGAACTATCCCTTTACACACACAGTGAACACACCCTCGGATTAGTATAGGAAATGCACGGTGAAATGTAAATACTGCTAATCTTCAAAAGAGATAGCTATTTCATAGCACTAATTGACATTATACAGGTATAAAGTACAATAAAACTATATGCTGGGTTTACATCAAACAGGGAATTGAGTATTTGCGAGAGTAAATTGCACACAAATTGATGCAAACATGAGAACAGAGGTGGATTACTGCCCTGCCTGCTGGTGAATAGCACAAAATATTCAATGAGTAAATGAAATTGAAACAAAAAAAAGTTTTTGTTTTATTTAATGAATTTGCAATGTTTTACAGATGAGCCTGAACTGTCATTTGCTGCTGCTGCTGTTTCTTGCAACTGGTAAGATGCTTGTTGTGATTTCTGTCTTTTTCATTGTTTCATTTGTTTGTTTTTGTCTTTAATCATTACACACTCATCATAAATCCATTAATTACTTAGCATTAAATAACATTTGACTGAGCTAATTAAGGATTTCTCAGCAATTATTGTGAGTAAAGTAAATATATTTATAGCGTTTTTTTTTTTTTTTAACCATGCAAGGGTATGCACGTATACAATCTATATTATTGTATTAAGAATACTTTCTTAATGCTACTTTATTATTAAATGTTGTAATTATCGGGACCTGTTAAAGTAATATTTACTGTTGTCCTACTTTATTTTATGCTACAGCAAACTGGGGTGTATTGTAGTAGAAATTATATTCTGTACTGTATGTTTTGAGTTGTTCTGTGTTAGGGTTTTGGGGGACCCACTGTAAACTTTAGGCTTTAGTCAGGGGTCTCTAACTACTTAAAAGTGTACTACTAAAAACTGAATTCGGAAGAAAATGATCTATGCTGTAAGAAAAAAAGAACTATAAAAAAAATTCAAAAGACTTTCAGCAGGGCTTCCAGAGATATTTATTTGTTAAAATACAGAGAATAACCATTTCACAAAATTACATGCAAAACCTGTTAAAATACAGGACATACTTCAGAGTCAAAATTCATTCAGTTACAGTTTACTGTTGATTGGTTTGCATTTAAACAGAAAAAAATGACGAAAAAAAAAAGGTAATTACAGCTATTTTACTATTTATTACTGCAATTATACAGATTATTACTGTAAATATATAATTTATTATTGTAATTACACAGATTAATGAATGTGATTTTAAAGAATATTAATGTAATTATACAAATTATGTGATTATTATGATTATTACTGTAATTAGGCAAGTTATTACGGTAATTAATGTAATTATACAGATTAATTTATGTAATTATGCATGAAGTCTCTAAATATTCCATACATCTTTCCACTTTTAACATAAATTTAGAACAAAAAATATCTTTTAAAGAATGATTAAAAAAAGCCTACTTACAAATAATTGCCGTAGTCATAAAATGCTGTAAATATACCAATAAACTATAATATATTTAGCAAATGTTTTTAGGATATGTAGGTTAAACTCCAAAACAATTTGCTTGAAAAAATACAAAACTGTTATATCCTATTTTTTTCATTACAAGGTTAGTGTCATGTGAGGATGCCTGCACAACTAATTTGAGGATCAAATAGCAGGTTATTAAGAGAATCGTCTTGCAATTAAAGGTTGAAACGGGAACAAACAGATCCATACAGATAATCCCAAGCGTAAAGGCAGCAAACAAAATAACAAAGCAAAGGGGTCAAACGCGGCAAGGGAAAATGTGTCGAAATGCTCACTAAACAATTTAAGACTCAGCAGCGATGTGTCTTGTGTGTGCTGAGTTTATAGTCCTTGAAATCAGTCATTAACGATCTTCTGACTGTGTGTGCATTCAGTCAGAATTAGGAACCCGGGTGTGCGAACATTTAGAATAGCAACATTGTTAGAGTAGTAAAATAAACATTTTACAGTTTACAGTGCATGCATTATATGCAGCCTACAAATAGGTTATTATTTGACATTATGAGGTTACTCTTCATATGATTACAGTCTTCACTAAACAATTTGGCTGTATTTGTGTTTCCCTGTTTTTACAAGAATAATCTGTAAATAATAATAAATAAATATGTAAATAATAATTGTTACTCTCTGAAAATACAGAACATTTTCTTAAAAAAAAAACAGAAAATAACCAAATAATACCCAAATACAAGCAGTAACTGTAAATTTAACGTTAAAATTTTTTATTACAGAACATATCTGTAAAACAACAGATATTTCACTTTTATAAAAAAAAAAAACTGAAATTCTGTAGAAAAAAAAAATTAAATTACCTGTAAAATAACGTTTAATTTTTACAGTGTACAAGGCAGGTTTAAGAATACTTGACTCTCTGTTTTGAATGATTCATTACTTTATTCAGTTGGAATCTGAATCTCTAACGCTTAAAATTGTAGCTTCATAATCTCAAGGTGTAAAAGTTTTGATAGCACACAAAACAAGACAGAAATATGTATATCCACAATCTTTTTGTTTTTGTTTTAGTAATACATCTGAAACCTGTTCACAGTGCTTTTTTGAAGTACATTTTTGTTTTTCTGTCACATATTGAACTCTCCTGTGTAATTTCTTCTTCAGGGTTTTTGGGAGCTGATTTATACGGAATTTCAGTGATAGAGGGAGATCCAGTCACTCTGCACACTAATGTTACAAAAACCAAACACGAGGAAGTTAAATATTACTTTGACGACACTCTTATCGCTCGACTCGCTAAAGATCTCAGTTTTGCTTGCACTGATGTGCAGTGTAATAAAGCTAATGAGAGTTTCAGAGGCCGACTGAAGCTGGACTATGAAACTGGATCCCTGACCATCATGAACACCACAAGCACAGACTCTGGAGGTTATCACCAACAGATCATCGGCAGTGGCACCAATTATGAAAAAACCATCAATGTTTCTGTCCATAGTGAGTGGCTTTTTTAATCTCATCACAGTGTTTATTAAATTGTTAACGTCATTCAGGTCAAGTCGACAGGTTCTCGTCATCCAGATCTTTGATAAACTGTGGTATTTTCTTTCTCTTTAGTATTTGTAGGTTTTATAAATATCAATATGCATAAATGTAACTTCTTAGACAGTTGTAGTCACAAGACACTTACCTTGTTATGGAGCTTCCTCTCCGTAAGACCTTCAATCATCTTTTTTTGTGTTTCAGATGGAGTGAAGAAGGGGTCTGCTACTTCCAATTCTATTGAAAATAATAACTTAAATGGTAAGATGTCCTGGCATTTTTTCGTTTTCTCCTTTGAAGATATTTAGTATACTGTATATTTAATTTTATTCTGTTCACAAGTGTAATACTTCAGCTTTAACATATGTTTGGATTTCTGTTGAGCTCACATGTAAATATTAGAAAGTATAGTTGAAGACAAAATGATTAGCCTTCTGTGTTTTTTCTGTTTGAATAAATCAAACTATTTTAGCTTGGGTGAAAAAACGTTTTTAATTGGACATAGTGTATGATTGTAAATGAGTGTGTGTGTGTGTATGGATGTTTTCCCAATGCTGGGTTGCAGCTGGATGGGCATCCACTGTTTAAAACATATGCTGGATAAGTTAGCGGTTCATTCTGCTGTGGCAAACACTGATGAATAAAGGGATTAAGCCAAAGGAAAACTAATGAGTGAATGAAAAAACATTCCTGACTCGCTCCTCCTAAAGTGTCTCAACAATATTTCGATCTGGTGCAGGACATGGGCGATGTTTAACTTCACTTTCATGTTCATAAAACCACTCTGACACCAGTCTTGCTGTGTCAGAGCATTATCATCCTGATAAACGTCACCCCTTCAGCATACAATGTTTAAACCATTGGGTGCACATAGTCCTCTAGAATGGGTCAGAAGTCCTTGGCAGTGACATACCCATATAGCACAAGTATTAGGCCTAGAGAATGCCATTATATTGCAGCCAAAACCATCACTGATCCACCTCCATGCTTCACTCTAGGCATGCAACAGTCTGGGTGGTACGCTTTTTTGGGACTTCTCCACACTGTAACTCTCCCAGATGTGGGTGTAGGGCAAAGGTCACCAAACTTGTTCCTAGAGGGCCAGTGTCCTGCAGATTTTAGCTCCAACCCTAATCAAACACACCTGATCAAGCTAATGAAGGTCTTACTAGGTATACTTAAAACACCCAGGCAGGTGTGTTGAGGCAAGTTGGAGTTAAACCCTCCAGGACAGAGATTGATGACCCCTGATGTAGGGGATCAACCTTCTTTGAAAGATCAATCAGGGTTTATTAGCTCATTTCAAGGAATCAAATCTTGAAGATTTTAATAATTTGATTCGAACCACTTAAACAGAATCAAATCAAAAGCTTTACACTTCATCAACCATTTATCCAGCAAATAGAAGACATCGTATTTTACCAGTCTTGTTTATATCATTTCCATGGCCAACGATAATTACATAACACAAGTATTGGTTTAAATTTAAGTAAAGTAACAGACTAAAGCAATGACTTAGAAGCACATAAACACAGCTTAATAAACAAACAACTGCACACACAGAAAGGCAGTTCAGAGGATGAAATGTGAATTGACAGCTGTTTCAAGTTAATTCTAGAACTTATTACTAGATCTTACAATCACACCTGAGAAACCACAAAAGTTCTTCTTGCTGTTTCGGCAGTCCCGAAACTTTAAGAGGTTGCTTTGAAAGTTCGTGGTGACCTAATCACGTGTTTTATGCACTGTCATTGTATCATGACAAAATAAAGGAGCTATTAGAAATTAGTTGTTAACTATTATGTTTTTTTTTTTTTTAAATCATTCTATTAAACAGCACTTGGGAATCATTTGAAAAAGATTACAAATTTCACAGGAGGGCTAATCATTTGTCTTCAACTTTATATATAGGTATTAAACGTTTTGTCATTTGTTATCTTGTTACTGATACAGTCTGTCTCTATCACTTTTAGATTCCAGTTCGTCTTCAGCCAATGTAACAGGAATATGTGTTGCTGTTGTTTTTTTTAATGCTGCTGTTGCCTTTGCTGCCTTTTAGTTTTATAAGTGTCAAACAGGAACTTAAAGTAAGTATTACAGAAAGCTAATTTAAGAAGATAAAAACGAGAAATTTGTAGTATACAAAAAAGAAATGTAAAAATGTAAATTTGTTGTAATTAACCAAAGTACTATATGCTTATTGTTCAAATAGACATCACAGGAAGGAGAACAGTGAACAGGTGAGCACTTAACCACTTTAAATTGTGAGAAAGAAAGCAAAGGAGTGCTTTATAGAATCAAATGAACAAGTATTAGTTAAAGGTGCAGTAGGTGATTGTCTTCTGAAGCATTTTTTTGTTGTGTGGGTTGAAAGTCTCTTCACAGTCTAATAGTAATGATTACAGTAAATGATCTAAATGTTTATATGTATTTTTATATTCAGGGTAAGGCATAAAACTAAAAAATGTTCATCCAATTAAGTATTGTCGGGCTGACATCTCCCATAATTCCGATAAGTAGCTCAAACTGTCTGTCAGCAAATGTAGCTTCAGACTTCTGCGCATGTATTTAAGCAGATCCGCCATTCGCGCGTGCCCGCCTGCATGAGTGCCACACGTTCACGAGACAATCACAGACGCGGGGAAATCAAAATCCTGAATCAGTATTGGAGTTACTTTTGCATGCTGGAGAAAGGACGACACCATAGCCGAAGTATTACTGTTAGACAAGTCATTTTTGTCAGGAGGTGTGGCTTTGAATCACAGTCTATTCCCGTTGTCCAAAGATAATATGCTAAGCAGTTAGCTCTTTGGCCGATCACCTACTGCACCTTTAAGTTATGAACTTTAATGGTCTTATTCAGGTCCTTCTCAAAAAATTTGCATATTGTGATGAAGTTCATTATTTTCTGTAATGTACTAATAAACATTAGACTTCCATATATTTTAGATTCATTACACACAACTGAAGTTCAAGCCTTTTATTGTTTTAATATTGATGATTTTGGCATATAGCTCATGAAAACACAAAATTCCTATCTCAAAAACTTTGCATATCATGAAAAGGTTTTCTAAACGAGCTATTACCCTAATCATTTGAATTAACTAATTAACACTAAACACCTGCAAAAGATTCCTGAGGCTTTTAAAAACTCCCAGCCTGGTTCATTACTCAAAACTGCAATCATGGGTAAGACTGCCGACCTGACTGCTGTCCAGAAGGCCATTATTGATTCCCTCAAGCAAGAGGGTAAGACACAGAAAGACATTTCTGAACGAATAGGCTGTTCCCAGAGTGCTGTATCAAGGCACCTCTGTGGGAAGGAAAAAGTGTGGCAGAAAACGCCGCACAATGAGAAAAGGTGACCGAACCCTGAGGAAGATTGTGGAGAAGGACCGATTCCAGACCTTGGGGGACCTGCGGAAGCAGTGGACTGAGTCTGGATTAGAAACATCCAAAGCCACCGTGTACAGGCGTGTGCAGGAAATGGGCTACAGGTGCCGCATTCCCCAGGTCAAGCCACTTTTGAACCAGAAACAGCAGCAGAAGCGGCTGACCTGGGCCGCAGAGATGCAGCACTGGACTGTTGCTCAGTGGTCCAAAGTGCTTTTTTCGGATGAAATCCAATTTTGCATGTCATTCGGAAATCAAGGTGCCAGAGTCTGGAGGAAAACTGGGGAGATGGAAATGCCAAAGTGCCTGAAGTCCAGTGTCAAGTACCCACAGACAGTGATGGTCTGGGGTGCCATGTCAGCTGCTGGTGTTGGTCCACTGTGTTTTATTGAGGGCAGGGTCAATGAAGCTAGCTATCAGGACATTTTGGAGCACTTCTTTATGGATATGCAGACTGGTAAATGGTTTACTGACCATGGTATTACTGTGCTCAATTGGCCTGCCAACTCTTATGACCTGAACCCCATAGAAAATATGTGGGATCTTGTGAAGAGAAAGTTGAGAGACGCAAGACCCAACACTCTGGATGAGCTTAAAGCCGCTATCGAAGCATCCTGAGCCTCCATAACACCTCAGCAGTGCCACAGGCTGATTACCTCCATGCCACGCCACATTGAAGCAGTCATTTCTGCAAGGATTCTCGGCCAAGTATTGAGTGCATAACTGAACTTATTAATTACTAATTATTTGAAGGTTGACTTTTTTATTTGTATTAAAACACTTTTCTTTTATTGGTCGGATGAAATATGCTATTTTTTTGAGATAGGAATTTTGTGTTTTCATGAGCTATATGCCAAAATCATCAATATTAATACAATAGAAGGCTTGAACTTACTTCAGTTGTGTGTAATGAATCTAAAATATATGAAAGTCTAATGTTTATCAGTACATTACAGAAAATAATGAACTTTATCACAATATGCTATTTTTTCATATATATATATATATATATATACACACACATACACACACACACACACACACACACATATATATATATATATAATGAAATTCTTGAATATGGCCTGTGCATGGTTTACAGTCTTTTTAACATTATGACCCTCAAATACTGCAGTTTATGACCCAATTTGGTGCTGTAAATACGTTTTGTTGGTTCTATTTCCATATTTTCTAGATTATAAGAAACAAGCGAATAATATGGTTGGCATTCAGCAAATAAAACATGTTTAAAGTGCCATGCATTTGGATCACAACACTCAAACCAGTGTGGCTTAAAGTCACTACCAATTTGTTTTCCAGAAAATATGGTATATAGTAATGATTATTTATTTTACAAAGGATGTTGTGTCCTATTTGCAATATCATTAATTTTAAAACATTTTTGACTTTTGCTTTTGTCAGCTAGTAGAGCAAATACAGATGCTGATTATACAAAAACAATATCTTCAAAAAGTTGATTTAATTAATTCCATGCAAAATGCAACTTGTATTATGTATACTCCACTCCATATTATGTATATTCCACACAGATCTGATACAACTGATACATTGCAATTGTTTATTCCTTTTAATTTTGATGAGTTTGATGACAACTAATAAAATCCCCAAACTCAGTATCTCAGAAAAACTTAGTATTGTGAAAAGTTTGCATATTAAAGACACCTGCTGCCACACTCTAATAATCTAATTAACCCTGAAACACCAGCAAAAAGCCTTTAAATGATCTCTCAGTCTAGTTCTGGCTACAGAATCATGGGGAAGACAGCTGATTTGACAATTTTCCAAAAGACGACCACTGACACCTTGCACTAGGTGGGCAAGACACAAAAGGTCCTTGCAAAAGAGGCTAGCTGTTTACAGAGCTCTGTGTCCAAACACATTAACAAAGAGGCGAAGGGAAGGAAAAGTGTACAAGCAGTAGCGATAATGCACCCTGGAGAGAATTGTAAAACAAAACCCATTCAAAAATGTAGGGGAGATTCACAATGAGTGGTCTGCAGCTGGAGTCGGTGCTTCAAGAACCACTACGTACAGATGTATGAAAGACATGGCTTTCAGCTGTTGCATTCCTTGTCAAGCCACTCTTCAACAACAGTCAGTGATTGTTTGGGGTACCATATCATCTGCTGGTGTTGCTCCACTTTGTTTTCTGAGGTCTAAGGTCAACGCAGCTGTATACCACAGGACATTTTAGAGCACTTCATGCTTCCTGCTGCTGACCAACTTTACGGAGATGCAGATTTCATTTCCAACAGGACTTGGCATCTGCACACTGTGCCAAAGCTACCAGTACCTGGTTTAAGGACCCTGTACTTAAATAGCCAGCAAACTCACCTGACCATAACCTCATAGAAAATTGGTGGGCTTTTGTGAAGAGAAAGATGTGATGTGCTAGATCCAACAATACAGAAGAGCTAAAAGTTACTACCAGTACAACCTTGGCTCTCATAACATATGAGCAGCTCCACAAACTATTCCACTCCATGTCATGCTGCATTGCTGCAGTAAGTGCAGTGCATGCTCATACTTTTCATCTTCATACTTTTAATCTGACCCACATTTCTAAAAATCTGTTCTTTGTATTGCTCTTAAGTTATAATCTAATTTTCTGAGATACTGAATTCAGGGTTTTCGCTAGTTGTCATCAAAATGATCACAATTAAATGAAATAAACACTTTAAATATATCAGTCTGTGTGGATTGAATGTTTACATTATACAAGTTTCACTTGCTGCACATTGTAAAAGCTGTAAGACCATATCTAAATGTTTTTATTTTCCTGTGGATACAGTGCAAATTATCCTTAAAGAGAAGCCTGTGTCATTTCCAGTCAATAAAAACTTGCCGGTTAAATAAAATTAACTTTTAAGTAAGAATTTGACAGGGTTATGAATAATTTAGCGATTTTTAAATTTCGTATATAAAAAAAGAGCACAAATACAGTGGCATTCAAACCTGCTGTATGTTGTAGTACAAAACATGACATTGTAATGTAGTTTATGAAACTGATGAAAAGTTTATGAAAAAACTTTTAAAACTATTTTTTTTACTATCTATGAATATGTTTTCTTACAGGCAGGCAGGTGGTGCTGAACACTCAAACAATGGCCTCATTCCCACCTACTCAAGACAGACGGAGGGCATTAATATTGTAGCCATGTGTACTAATCAGTCTGTCTCATTGTAAGCTTTAGTGCTAATTTAATAATTATATATATATATATTATATATATATTACACCAGAAAACATGCTTACGTGTATTTTTTATGACGCTAGCTAATATCATCTTAGAAATAAGCTTTATTACTAGGGCTGCAACTAACGATTATTTTAATAATTGATTAATCTGTCAATTATTTTTCCGATGAATAAAAAAAATATAAAAATGAATAATAATAATAATTATTATTAATAATAATAACAATAATAACAACAATAATAATAAACTAAGTAGTTTTGTCCTGTTTTTAATCCAAATATCTAAATATTTTTTAAATCAAGATACATACTAAACACATTAAATAAACATAAATGATGTCTTGTTTTCTAAAAAAAAAACATCTAAAAATATTTTTTGCTTAAAAAAAGTTAAATTATTTTTTTAATTGGGTAAGAAAAATAATCTTAATGACATGTAATCTCAAACAGAAGTTTTACCAGTTCACATAAACGTGTAAGTGATGGTGATCTGTAACGTAAGATGGTCGTCGACATGTTTACTTGCGGCTGCACGTTTGCCTCATTCATAAAAAGCAGAACATGCAGGATTCAGCACGTAAATTCACCAGTTGCTCCCCAAATACATGCAAGTAAGTGGCTGGGGAACTTGGAGAAGATTCAACTTTATAGTTACTTTCTTTATGTGTAATGTGTATCTGATATGAATAAAACACAGACAAGTTATATTTGAATGGATTGTTAGACTTCCTTGTGTGTTTTACAAACTCTAAATGTTTTGTTTTATGTCTAAAACATAAATTAAGCATTAGGCAGTTAAAACGCTGCATAATTGTGATATGACACGTCTTTCTTAGCAGGGTTAAGTTGGTTTTGTTTTCGAAAAAAAGAAGCACTATTCCAACGGTCCCATACTGGGAGCTCTGCTCAGCACCAGACACCGCACCAAAGCTCAGTTTGATTTTCTCATTTGCCTCTAAGGGTAAACAAGCTAACGTGTCATGCTTTTCAAGCTGGATAATGACTAAAACATCAGTACCAGGGACTTTACGGTCCCTGCTGTTGAACTCCCTTGCTCCTCATCCCTGTCAGAGGCGCCGAACTCTGTATGTAGTGCGCGAGAGAGACCAGGTTCACTCCGCTCTGAACTAAAGTGTTTTTAAATAATCAACCGCCCTGTGTCGTGTGACACAATGAATTGATTATGAAATTCGTTGCTAACGCTTTTAGTAATTGATTTTTGTTAATTTAATCGATTCGTTGTTGCAGCCCTATTTATTACTACAGTCCCACTCATTTTGTGCTCTAAAGAGAATTTGTTTACATTTCATTTATTGTTCATTCACTCAAAAATTTGAATTATGTTATTAATTACTCACCCTTATGTCATTCCGAATCTCTGAGACCTTTGTTCATCTCTGAAACACAAATTAAGATATTTTAGGTAAAATCCAATAGCTCCCTCATCTTCCAGCAAGGGATCCCACTCATTCAAGTCCAGAAAAATACCAAAAAATCTCAAAATATTCTTGTACCTTGAGTGGGTCGTTCAATCAGAATATTTGAAAGTGGCGAGAATCCTTTTGTGTGCACATAAAACAAATATAATATCTTTATTCAACAGATTCTTCTCCTCAGTGTCAGTATAGAGTGCACATTTACATATCGCACTTGGTTTCACCTGCTGATATATTACCTGCAGTGATAGAAAGTTTGTATCATTTTACTGACTCTGACCTCTGGGTCTCGTTCAGCAAGGTGAACAAATTATTATTATTTTTTTTTTATCATTTTGCTCAATTTGCCAAAATATTATTAAAATATTACGAGTTGCTTTCAACCTCATCTACAATTACTTTAGTCCAAACTTAGCTCACACTACAAATAAATAAATAAATCATAACTAGAATGCTGTAAGAAAAAAAAAACAATCATGGTCTATGATTATATCAGCTCACCTTTTTTGACTGGTCATCAAATTTGATTGGTTCGTTCACATCACACACAGTCCTTAATAAGCTTAGACAATGCACACACTATGAGCCAAAAGGAGCCATTAGTTCACCTTTCGAGTCTTCTGGTTTTTGAGTTGTTTGTTCATCACGTGACGGCATGTAAAGAGAGATGACTCCAACCTGAGGACTTGAGAAATTAATGGATGAAATCTTTTCCGGCTCTGACTGCATATAATTGGCTTCTGTCTTTCATGTGTTTAATAAACGCCTCAAACCCAATAGAACACTCGATAAAGGAACTAGTCTTCTCCTCCACCTGCACAAATGAATGAATCACTCCATGAGAAGACTCATCATTCTCATCATTCAAAATGAATGTATCGTTTAAGAACAACCCATCACTAATTACTCGACATATACAGTACTTCCCTGCACAGCAAGGGAATGTGCACCCTATACTGACACTGAGAAGAACTAAGTAGTCTTGTAGTTTGTTCATTTATTCAGATTGAAACACTGAAGGCATATCATCAGTTTTAAGGATGATATTTTTCTGGACTTTGAACATATGGAGACCATTGCTGTCTATAGAGGCAAGGCAAGTTTATTTATATAGCACATTTCATACACAGTGGCAATTCAAAGTGCTTTACATAAACAAAAATAAAAGAAACAAGTAAAATAAAAATAAAAACAAATAATAAAAATGAGTAAAAAAATAAACAAAAAAACAGGTAAAATGTAATAAAAGAATGAAGAAGAAGAGAAAAACATAGTTGTGCAATCTGTCGGACGCAGCACAGTGCTCATTCAGTAGAGGCACAGCTAAACAGATGTGTTTTCAGTCTTGATTTGAATGTGCCTAATGTTGGAGCACATCTGATCATTTCTGGAAGCTGATTCCAGCAGCGGGTGGCATAGTGGCTGAAAGCTGATTCACCCTGCTTTGACCGAACTCTTGGAACTTCTAGTTTATATGATCCTAAAGATCTGAGTGATCTGTTAGGTTTGTATTCAGTGAGCATATTTGTAATGTATTGAGGTCCTAGGCCATTTAGTGATTTATAGACCAGTAATAATACTTTTAAAATCTATTCTGAATGTAACTGGCAGCCAGTGTAAAGACCTGAGGACCGGTGTGATGTGCTCTGATTTTCTGGTTCTGGTCAGAATTCTGGCTGCAGCATTCTAGATGAGCTGCAACTGTCTGACTGTCTTTTTAGGAAGACCAGTGAGGAGTCCATTACAGTAATCCACCCTGCTGCTGATAAAAGCATGAACAAGTTTCTCTAAATCTTCACTAGAAACAAAGCATCTGATTCTTGCTATGTTTTTGAGATAGCTGGTCTATTGTTTAGAGCAGTGGTCCCCAACCCCTGGGCCTAGGACCGGTATTCTTCCTTCTGCCATGCCATCTCGTTGCAAAGAAACAAGCTCAGGGCTCCCATTAATTTAGCGTTACCGACAATTTTTGATGTTATAATATGTTATATTGTTTGAGCAATGTGTTAATTAAATTATTACTTCCTAATGTTATAATAGCATTGTAATGTTGAAGCAATATGCTAATAAAGTTCCACATGAGTACACAGTGGATTCATGTTTATTATTGTTATTATTTCAACCCCGGGTCCGCAGTAAAATTGTCAAGCGTTGACCGGTCCGCAGTTAGAAAAAGGTTGGGGACCACTGCTATACAGGACAAGGGCGCTCTCAGATTTCATCTAAACTATCTTATTTCATCTAGAATATATTTGTGTTCTGTAGATAAACGAATTGGATTGTAATGACATGAGGCTGATTAATCAATAACATAATTGGCATTTATTGAACTAATCTTTTATTTATTCACGTTGTTTCAAACCTCCGGGGCCTTTGTTATCTTCAAAACACAACTTAAGATATTTTAGACTAAATCTGAGAGCTCTTTCATTCTTCATAAACAGCAGCTGTCCAGAGATGTTAAAAGTCCTTAAAAGGAACCAAAAACTTTGACAAAAGATTCCACGTGACTTCAGTGGTTTTATTGTAATCATATGAAGCTCCTTTGAAAACACTAGTTAAGAGTAATTAATAACCAAATTTTCAATTTTGGATGAACTAACCCTTTAAGGTGCAACCCTCTCAGTCTGCCCTGAGTTAAAAGGTTGGATGTCAAATTCAATTGGTATTGTAGATGCTATTATCCATCCATAAAAAGTTAAAGTAAAATACTAATTTTGAGTCTGGAATGCAGCAGCATATGTCATTATGGAATATTGTAATGTATTCATATAGCGCATTTATTGTGTATGGCCATACACCCAAAGTGCTTCACAATTATGAGGGGTCTCTCCACACCACCACCAGTGTGCAGCATCCACTTGAATATGTGTGTCCTTGTTCTTAATGTGTAGGTTAGTAATTCAAAAATGTATATAATAAAATTTGTTTTAAAATTACATTTAAATTTGGTGCTATTGTGTGAGGTGTCATTGTCTGTTCCTTTGTAAATTTACAATTTTTTTTATTACTGTGACATTACTTTCCAATATGTGCAACAGAAAATGCATGTTTTACTAAGAGATACAAACTTTTCAAAAAGGATTTAAACGGGTCTTTAAAGCACAGTTGAAGCCCCCCCCCCCCATTTCTGTTTGACAAAAATAAGATTTCTAAACATAAGTGTTAATAACTCATCTCTAATAACTGATTTCTTTTGTCTTTTCATGATGACAGTACATAATATTTGACTAGATATTTTTCAAAACACTATAGTATTCAGCTTAAAGTGCCATTTAAAGGCTTAAATAGGTTAACTAGGCAAGTAGGAGTTATTCATTCTGTAGACAGTTGAAACAATTATTGTATAATAATACCTAAAAATTATTTGTACAAAGACAAAACTGCTTTTATTCTAGCCGAAATAAAAACAAATCAGTCTTTCTATAGAAGAAAACATATTATCAGAAATACTGTGAAAAATTCCTTTCTCTGTTAAACATCATTTCGGAAATAATAAAAAACATCCATAAGAGACCTAATAATTTTGACTTTAACTGTATATAGTAATACCTAAAAAAGTATGAATCTGTACCTCATGGTACAAAAGTGTACCCTAAAGGCACTGTGCAGCTGTAAAATACCAAGGTGTACCTTTTGAACAGGTACTGCTCCAGTGTCAGATTTATTTCTGAGAGTGTAAAATGGATGTAACAAAGACCCAAAATGTTACTTTACATGTAAAATAAACATTTTATGTGTACATACAGTAAAAACATGTGCATCATGTAGGCCTATATCGTTTATTTATGTGTAATATAGGCATCTACTATAGTATTTTCTGTAATATTTTTATTTATTATTGTTCACTCAAATTCTTAAAAAGGCATCCTCAATTTGGCACACATGTATATATTTATTTAATGAGGTACTTTTGTTTTTTTCAATAGTTTGCTATCTTGATGCACAATATTAACATTAAAACTTTTAGAGAGCATTTTTAGGAATATTTGCATTGAATTTGCAGTGGTGTTAATCACAGCGCCAGATGCTTGCAGACTTAATCATTTAATTAGCTTTAAATTTCAAACATTTTGACGTTATTCTGTCCTATGACATGTTGAAATATAGATTGAACTTTTTGTGACTGTTTATTGGACTGTTGTACGTTAACACTGTGCAATAGTTAACATTAGTTAGTTTAACTTAACTCGCTATGAAAGCTTTCAATAACCTTAGGTGATGTTCATTTCTTAGTTAATGTTAAAATCGTAATCACAATCTGATTACAAATCCTTATCATTTTATTAATTTGAGTTAGTACCTAATAAAATTTAAGTTTAAAAAAAAATTATATTAACAAAGCAACTAATACATCTGTTTTTTTTTGTTAATTTTAATCAATTAACTAGCATTTACTAATGTAATTTAAAATACTTTTGCAATTTAATTGGGTTGAAACATAAGCATCTAGTTGTTATACCTTTTTGCAGCTTAGGTCAATATCGTGATAATACCACATGTCCTGAAAAAGCTTCAGCAATTAATCGCTATGAGAAAATGTATTATTAATAATCTGTTAATAATAATCTGTTAATAATAATACTGTTATATTACTGAATGACTGTTGTATTACTGAATGACATATGTTTTGAGTTTCTTTCAATGGTGATGTTGCTTAGCAATTGTTGAGCACTCACGGGCAGATTATTGTGATTGGTCAAACATTTCAAGCTCCGCCCCTTAAATTTAAAGCGAACAAGCACAAAAAATATAACATGTATTTAACTATTTTTACCATAAAAACTACTCTTTTATTTTTTTTGTATACATTTTATAAGTAAATTTTTGCAGCTGAATACAGTTAAACCATAAAGCACCATTTAATTCAGTTATATATTTGCTCTATTTACTCAACTGTATCAATGTTAGCTATTTGTTTATTATATTTTATGCAGATGCACTTCCTCCAAAATCACCTCAATCTTTATAAAATAATCAGTTCTTTCAAAATAGATCTATTCAAACAGTTTGGGACTCTAAATACAATATATATTGCAAAAGAACTCAATATTGCAATGCAACGCCAGTTTTGTCCGAACATCCTGTAGCGCTGTGACATTAGATAACACCAGGTGGAATCCTTTTGTCATCCATTTTAACAGGAAGCAGAAGTAAGAAAGTAGGAACAGAAAAGCTTAAAGAAGAAGGAAAAGTCACTCTTGGTGGGTAAAAGGGAAAATGTTTTATAATATGTCTTGTATGCTTATGTTGTTTTCGGGAATGTTATTTTCAGAGGTAACGGAACGGAAACATTATAAATAAAAAATACAGCGATTTCAATACCGATGGTGGCGAACGCAATTGTTGAACTGCTTTTCATTAGAATACGAAATAGTCACACTATATCAATGATCTCTCACGTACTCCACAATTCTACTTGTGCTATTTCGATCCTTTCACTCATCGTGCGCTGATATCTTAAACCACCTTAAAACTACATGCACTTTGACTTGCATTTCTGCTGAAAGACAGAACCAGTACTTTATGCTCCTTACAATAGTATTTAACCTAAACAGTACATTTTTACAAGATAGTTTATCCCATTTTATAAAAAGCTAAACAGAAGCGGAAGTCAAACTCTATGCGGAAGAGCAGATGTTGATTCCTCACGGTGTATTTTTAGCTGCTTATGACTTTCTAAGGGTTTCTTCTGTCCAGTGTTCTTTATTAACCCTTGTGTGTGTGTTGTATAATTTGACTATCCTTCTGTTATGTTCAGGGCCATTTTTGCCCCATTGACTTCTATTATAATTACATTTTTTGATTGTCAAGCTATTACACCAAATAATCATGCTTTCTTGATTGTAGCTAGTTTTCCATGTTGGGAATTGGTCAATTTTTTTTATTTTTGCTGTTGATCATAAGGTGGCACCAATAGCACTTTGGATAGGCCTGTGCAAAAACATTTCTGGCTTTTATATGGAATTCTGTGGATGTTCTGAGAGCTGAGCTGTTTGTTTTGATTTTCTCATACACTTACTAGACACTAGATATGTCTAATACATGTGCAAAGGTCTCTCTTACACTCGGGAACACACAGTACTCCATGCACTGCAACTGATAATCAACAGTAAAAAGTACAAATTGGACCTCTTACCAACAGGAAAAACCACCAGTATTGTTGAGTTTCCCAACACATTTTACCAAAATATGTGTCAAAGTAAGATTTGTCACCAAAAAGTATTCCATTTGCTGAAAAATAGGAAGTAGTGGCCAAATTTAGCCTCAAAATCACCAATGAAAACATCACCAACAGCACACAATGGTTATATCAGAGGAAGCCCAATGGGATGCTACTTATATATTTGGCGATAGTATATTTGTGGCAATAGTCAACAAACTGTATCCATCAAAATGATTGATTTTCTTTTTAGGCCAAAAATCATTAGAATATTTAGTGAAGATCGTATTCCAATGACAACATTTGTTAAATGTACTACGTTAAATAAATAAATATAAAAAAAAAAACTCTATTTAATAATAATATGCATAGCCAGCTGTTCATTTAGATGTCTTTAAAGGTGATTTTTTTTTTAAGATTCCAGGGGCCTGTACCATGATTCACATCATGAAACATGTTTCAGTTTAATTTGCACCAATTCTTTGTTTCGGGTGCAATGAGTGAAGCTCAGGTCTTTTATACTGTATGGCTGACCTGCTCCAGGGCAGGTTATTTTCTGATTTGGTGCTCACTAACCGAGATTCCACAAGTCATCTGTAAGCAAAATGACACATCTCTGATGCAATAAAGACACTCATGGTCATTATAGTAAAACGCATATCAAAATCGTCTTATTTTAATGAAGAATTGTCTAATTAAATTTTTTATATGACTATTTTAGCTGTAATCCATTACACATAACCTATTTTAGTTTAATAATGGGTCTTTTTGTTTAATTACATATACATTTACAAAGATCATTTGTTAATCAAGAGATAGAAAAGATTATATATGAGCTTAGTGGGGAGTTAACCTCATCATAAAGCAATGTTATATAGCATTACTTTTTGTCTAGTTTATTTGAAAGAGAACCGATAACACCAGTTCCGTTTCTAGGCACGGCTGTTTCGCGCAAGGAAACGGGAGTGCGCATCACATCAGCTGTGCGCACAAGTGATCATCCTCTCATTCGGTATTCAACTGCTTTCTATTGCTGCTGCAAACATAATTAGTTTTGTCAGTTGTGCTGCTTCTCGATTCTAAGATCACATTTGCATGCATATTCGGCCATCTTTATTGTCGTACCCTGATTTTAAGAAAACTACAATTTAAAAATGATTTTCAACCAGCCAAACTGGCTAGTGGCTGTGTCTGTCTACCCCGCCACAGGGGAAATCTACCCGCATTTGGCGAGTGTTAATGTTAAGCCCTGTGTGTGTGTGTGTGTATATATATATATATATATATATTTCATACATATATATGTTTTCTATTATTGGTTGAGCTACATTTCACCTGCTGTCACATGCATTCTGATTGCTTAAGCTAGCAGCAGTAGCAGGCCAATATTAGTGCAACTGAAAAAGAGGATGCCTCGTCCTCTTATAAGTCCAACATCTGGCAACATTTTGGTTTTTCAGTCACTGAAGAGGACGGTAACAAGAAAACAGACAAAACACAAACTGTGTGAAAACACTGTAAATATTGCTGCCATACAAAGCTGCGAAGACAACGGATATGATGTGCTATTTAAGCCGTCACCACCGCACCACAGTGCAATCAAGTGTCTTACTTAAGTGCCAAAGCTGAAGAAATTTTTTCCCCCAATTTGTGTTTAACGGAGAGAAGATTTTCAACACTTTTGTAAACATAATAGTTTTATTAACTCATTTCTAATAACTGATTTATTTTATCTTTGTCATGATGAATAATATTTGACTAGATATTCTTCAAGACACTTCTATACAGCTTAAAGTGACATTTAAAGGCTTAATTAGGTTAAAGGCAGGGTAGGGTAATTAGGCAAGTTACTGTATAATGATGGTTGGTTCTGTAAACTATCAAAAAAAACATTTAGCTTAGAGGCTAATAATATTGTCCTTAAAATGGTGTTTAAAAAAATTTATAACTGCTTTTATTTAAGCTGAAATAAAACAAATAAGACTTTCTCCAGAAGAAAAAATATTATCAAACATGTTGTGAAAATTCCCTTGCCCTGTTACATATAAATTGGGAAATATTTAAAAAAGAAAAAAAAAATTCAAAGGGGGGCTAATAATTCTGACTTCAACTGTAAATACTTTATATATATATAATATTATATATATAAAATAAACTATACAAATCAACTATACTTAAAAAAAGCTTTTTTAGTTTTTGTTTTTCTCCCTCATGGTCAGCTCTTTTCATCTTTCTGTGTAAATATTTTTAAATTCTCCTGTTTTTTTATCTTTGGTTATTAATTACCCTGACTCTCTCAAGAGAAGTCAATCACAGTATCTTCACATTTCGAGGACTGTGATTGGCCATTTGCTAATGATATCCCGCCTTCATCTGCATGCGCTCATAAACTCAAAATCAAAGTCTGAGTTATCAAAGAGAGGTCATGATCAGCATCATGGTACCAAAAAAGCCTGATTGCACTGCTTTGGATTTTTCTACTCAAAACTAATCCTATAATCCTGGGTTTGTTCAACCAGCATAATGGTACAGGCCCCTGATCCCAGAGTTGTATCTCAGGCAAATACTGTCATCCTAACACAGCACGCATCAAAGAAAATCTTATTTACTAATCTCATTAAAAAAATGTAAAAAAAATGACACTTATGACTTACGGCACAGGTGTCAAATCCAGTTCCTGGAGTGCCATGGCTCTGCACAGTTTAGCTGCAACCCTGCTTCAAAACACTAAAGCTGCGGTCGCACTGGGCTTTTCCTCCCATACACTTCCATTCATACGCATGCGAATGCATCCGACCGGAAACGCAGGCTCAAGTGTCAAGTTTCGCAGGTTGCTGTGGTGCAAAGTTCAAGCTTGGTGAACTCTGACCTGCGAAATGGCATCACTAGACTGCGTGAGACCAATCGAGGATCAAAACATGACCTTTCTGGACAGAAATTTTAAATATGAAGCAATCGCTCGCTTTTTAAATGTCTAATCATCTTGTTTAATCCCGCCCCTTTTCGCAGAGCCGTACGACAGAATTTGACAAACTCAAACTCTAGTGTGACCGCAGCTTTATTTGTAGGTTTCAAACAAGCCTGAAAGACTAAATTAGTCTGATCAGGTGTGTTTAATTAGGATTCAAGTTAAACTGTGCAAAACTACGGCCCTCCAGGAACTGGATTTAATACCTGTTACTTATGATTTTGAGGTCAATAGTCACGAATGAGAAGTTTGTATTAGGAAAAGTTCATAGGAGTTGATAAATAGCATTGTGTAACAATTCCAACTGTCAATGGCTCATTAATTAACTCATTAATTAATAGAATAGATCACACACTATTACATGTTAGGATTTGGTGGAAAAATAAATACCCAACATAAATAATTTAGTGAAAATTAATTTTGATTCCTATACTTTTTTCTTTATTGTTGACCATTGCGGCATTGGCACTAAATGTTTACTGCTAGTTGTTTTACTTTGCATTATATATTTCACAATGATGCAACTAAAATGATGATCTGCCTACTCTAAGTTTGCTTGTATTTAAAAACAGACAAAACTGGGCATTTATACAGGGCAGTCATATTAAAATAATAATTATTAAAAAGTTACAGTTCTCTCATGACCAGTGCCTTTTGCTTTTATTTTATTTAATTTTTTTGTTTATCACAAAGCAGAATGCATGTTTTCCAATTTAATGAAATTACATTATTTTTCAGATGAGGATGAATATCTCTGTACTGTTGGTGCTTCTGCCAGTTGGTAAGAGGCTTCTTGTGATTTGTATCTTGTCCATTCTATCTTTTTTTTTTTTTTTTTTACTTTAATCATGAGTTACACTTGTTGTAAATCAACGTATTACTTTTGTAAAAGCCAGTTATGCATAATTCATTTGTGATAATAATTTAGTTATAAAGGTTAAAACATGGTGGAAATTGATATTTAAATATAATAAGAATTCATAGTGATATTCATAATTTAATAATTAATACAATTAAAAAACTTTTACTTTGATATTTTGGTTTCCGACAGTAAAATGTCATGAGGTCATTCAGTCAGTCAGACTGCAGTTATGGACGTTGGAAGCAACACAGTTTTTGACCAAGCTATTTCGAGTCTATTGTACCTTTAGTATTTTTGTTTTGCATATTTTCAGTAAACCTTTTTTAAAAAAAGATTTAGTCTTACGATTTTTAAAAACTTGCTGTTGGACTAACTTCAAAATGTGGAACATAAGGATGTGCACGAAAGGTGTGCAACTCGCTAAGAACATTGGAAATCAATGGAATCTCCTTGAATTGCATTATATCACCGCTCGACGAACTGAACAACAAACTGATAATTCTTTATGTTACACTTGTTGCAAATCAACTTATTACTTCATCCTTATTGTTGTCTTTAATAGCTGTGGAGACAGTGACTCATTTTCATAGCCTAGAGACATTTCAGGCACATTTCAGAACGCACAAACGACATGGCAAGAGCACAACACTTACTAGTCAAAGAATGTTTAGTAACACTTTACAACAACAGTACATGAATAATGATGTTTTAATATGCAAACTAAACATTACTTTATTATAAACTAATGTTGAATTAAGGCATGCGCTAATCATGAACTAACTTTTATTACATGAGGTCATGTGTGAATAATTGCTGCCTTAATCACTTGTTAGTACATTATTGTTAAATAATATTAACAAGTTTAAGCTAAATGCAACCAACATGAACTCATGAGCTGTTAATGTATAATTGTATCATGACTTTACTTGGAAGGGCACATCATCATTAAAGGTGCAGTAGGTGTTCTGCCTAAATGTTAACCGGTTACCATAATATGTTTGAAACACAATCCCTTCCCTGCCGTCCAAAGCCACGCCTCCTGAAATCACGAATGCGCACATTAAAGATGACAGAGACCCACTAGATCAGGGGTGTCATACTTAATTCCTGGAGGGCCGAAGCCCTGCACAGTTTAGTTTCAACCCTGCTCCAACACACTTACCTGTAGGTTTCAAACAAGCCTGAAGGACTCAATTAGTTTGATCAGGTGTGTTTAATTAGGGTTGGAAATAAACTGTGCAGAGCTGCGGCCATTTTGGAACTGAGTTTGACACCTGTGGTCTAGATCATGTCGTTCGCCAATTAGAAAGCTTTTATAGTACTTTATAATACTACTTCAATTCTGAACGATTCTCTCACTTTCTCCTAAAGCGACTACTGTATGCCTATAGTGATTGGCTGGTGGGCTGCAGGAATTACACTTATTACTCTTGTGTGTCAGGTTGTCATTGTTCAAAAATTACCCAATGTGAATATAAAACCAAGTTCAGCTCAGTAAAGCAGGCTAGGTGGAATAGAGCTAGTTACTGATGTTTTGTTGTTAAACTAAATAGAAATCTACATTATCGATGTAAAAGGAACTTATGAAACTAAAAATAGTCACATCAATCTTTCACCATGCAGGAGATTTCAGTGGCTAAACAACACTTTGGTGCATATAACCCATTTGTAACAACCCAATCTACATCAGCTTTGTTTGACTAAAATGTTTTTTTAAACAGAACATTACCTGTCTAAGAGAAATACTTCAGCGATGGTGTCATCCTTCCTCCAGCGTGCAAAAGTAACTCCAATATTGATTCTAGATTTTAAAGTTTTGATTCAGCATTTTTTTTACCACCGTCACTCGTGTCCCTGGACCGCAGCACACGAGCATCGGTGGATCTGCATGAGCAGAGGTTTGCAGTTGTACAAAATCTACTTTTGTTGACAGACAGTTTGGGCTACTTTTCAGAATTATGAGAATTATTGGCTTGACAATATTTTTTTATTGGATGAATTTTTTTTTTGTTTTAAGCCTTACCCGGAATAAAAAAACACAATCATTTAGATCATTCATTTAGTAATTGGAATGTCAAGAGACTTTCAACCAGCACACAACAAAAAAGGTTTCTGAAGGCAATCACCAACTGCACCTTTAACTACTAACGTTAATTAATTCAGGAGCTCATGTGTTTGAACTGTTGTTATTCAGTGTGGTACATAAGAGTTCATGGGTAGTTGAGAATGATGATGTACCCCTCCAAGTAGCCTAGTCACGATATAATTATTCATAAGTATAAACTAGTGTGGTAAAAATACGTTATTTAACAAACAATTATGTACTAACATGTAAATAAGGTAGCTATTCACACATGAATTGTGGCTGTAAGTTAGTTCATGATCAGCGCATCATCATTAATTCATAATAAAGTAATGCTTAGTTTACTAACACATCACCGTGTACTGTTTTTGTAAAGTGTTACCGAATGTTATGATGACTTTTCATTTATTTAATAACGCGATGTATTAATGAGTCTGGTATCAAAATCTCTTCACTAAGCGATAAAATATATAGTTTTAATTCCGTGGGTGATATTTTAATCAAACGTGCGTATAAGTCACATTCAAGAAAAGTTTACTTACAGATTAGGTTGTCAGAAAATAAGCAAAACAAACCGCCATCCGAGAAGTTATGAAATGACGCATTTTGGCTCTTCCGCTGCGTTCAAGAAATCTTTGACGCCAGACGCATTCAAGTCCCTTTTGTCAACACACGATGGCGCTTTTTAATAAACAAGGCTACAATAAAACAGCAGTGTTTACTGAACTCTGCTTATAGAAAACGAAGACAAATTCGCTTCAATTGTTTGTTTTCAATAGTTGATTTTGCTTCCATGATATCTGAATAAATAGTTAATGATAAGATGATATAATTATCTAAGCCTAATTTGTTTATTTACGGTTGTGTAAAAAATGAACTATACAGTTTAACAAAATGACTTTTTTTATTTTTAAAGGGTGATGTATGAGGAATAATTAATAGAAAAAAAGTTTTAAAAATCACAGACAAGGCATTAAAATGTTTTTTTTTTGTTTGTTTTTTGTTTTTTGTAACAATTTACAACACAAATCCAGACAACATATCACTTTAAACTATTTTTAAAAGTTATTAAAAATCACCTTTTCGCACTTTTCAAGGTTAAAAGTTGTCAGAAGAAAGATCAAGATCCCATAATACAATTGAAACGCACAAATAAACAGGGAAAAAAAACATGAGTCACGAATAAGGAAAGATTTGCTATGGATATTTTTACAGTGTAGACCTAAATATGTTTTGAAGTTCAGTTTTGTCCTACTATCACAGAATGAATAATGATTAAATGCTAATTTCTTCTCCAGGGATTGTTGGAGCTGATTCATATGGAGTTTCAGTGATGGAGGGAGATCCAGTCACTCTACCCACCAATGTTACAAAAACCCAACAGGAAGATGTTAAATATTATTTCAACAACACTCTTATCGCTCAACTCACTGGAGATCTCAGTTTTGCTTGCACTGATGTGCAGTGTAATAAAGTGAATGAGAGATTCAGAGGCCGACTGAAGCTAGACTATGAAACTGGAACTCTGACCATCATGAACACCACAAGCACAGACTCTGGAGATTATCATCAAGAGATCATCGGCAGCGGCACCATCCATGAAAATATCTTCAATGTTTCTGTCCATAGTGAGTCACTTTTTAATCACATCCCAGTGTATTGCTGATATCTGATTTCTTTTTGCCTGCTTTCTCATTATGCAGATCTTTTATGAACTTTTCCTGTGTGTAGATTTTTTTTTTCTCTAGAATGATTTCAAATTGATTAGCCTATTTGGTGTCTTTAACCTCATGATTGATGAAAACAAACAACATTAAAGTGCAAGCTGGGTACCAAATATACTAAATAAAGTTACATAGACAATGTAACTTTTTAGACAGTTGTTGTCACAAGACCATGCATGGAGCTTTCTTTCCAAAATGACCGTAAATCATCTGTTGGTTTGTGTTTCAGATGTTTCTGCTACTAAAAGAGATGTAGTCAAGAAAATGTCAGAGAAGGAGGGAGAATCTGTCACTTCAGATTCTGGTAATAAATTAATAATGCAATCAATAATTTTATTACTTTGATGGCTTGTTGTTATCTTGTTATTGATACATTCTATCTTTATCAGTTTCAGTTCTGTCTTTAGGTGCTGTAGCCGGAATGTCTTGTTGTTATTGCTGCTGTTGCTGGTGGGATTTACTATCACAGGTGCCAAACAACAGTTTTAACATGATGAAAATATAAAGTTTGTAGTGCACAAAAATAATGTTCAAATGTAACATTGTTCATTTTGTTGTAATTAACCGATGTAATGTTCTTTTTGTTCAAACAGACATCAGCAGAGTGTAGAGGTAAGCACTGAACCAGCTCACCTGGGGTAAATCAGTAAATCAGTGTTAATTTTGTGGTTTGAAAATGAATCATTACTTAGAAATAACAATGACAACTCACTCATAATGAGTTTAGAAATGTACATTTACTTGATCGTTTGTACTCTGATCTCCCATGTCCAATGTAGACACAGAGTAACAAATAAAGTTGTTAATTCATTTTACTGAAAGTAATTTTTTAGCAAGAGGTCAGTTTGAGAGGTTTTTCAGAGAGAGATCATTTTTAAGAAACAGGGGTTTGAACTTAAATTTGTGAAAGAAGAGCAAAAACAAGAAACTTTATTATAAAGCATATTGTCTAACTTTTATTTTCTGAATATTTATGTTTTAAAAACATAATAAATACATTTTACTTGATAATCATGATACTTTTTACAGTACAGTCTTGCTAATATTATATCTGGATCATAAAAACTGCAGTTCGTTACCCCTATAAATAATTTTTTGGGGGGGCAGGCGGGATTATACAATAATATATCATATGGATTATACAATGTGTGATGTATAATCCATATTTTCTGGATTATAGATCACACATTTGGATCTCAACTCTCAAACCAATATTACACTCTCAAAAATAAAATTACGAGAGCTGTCACAGGGGTGGTACCTTTTCTTGTACCTTTATTTCTGAGAGTGTACTTAAAGTAGCAATATCTTTTCCAGAAAATATGGTATATACTGATAATTTACTTTGCCAGTAATGTTGGATTAATTAATTTAATTTTATAACATTTTTACCACCTTTCAAATAAGTTTATGGGTGATGCAATAGGAGTTATGTGTGTGTGTCTACATATGTATACATAACATAAATAAATGACAAACAACAAAAAATAATTTGACTTCTAGTTGATCATTTGGTATCAGAAGTGGCCTACAGTATATAAAAGGCAAATGCCTCTAGATTACGCTTATTTTACCTAAATAAAATTTGACCATGCCTTGATTTTTAATTATTTAATTAGGACAGTAAAGTCTGACTTTGCTTAGACAAAAGTCTAAGACAGAAATAATGTCCAGTCTAGAATATAAAGTGATGCAGTGGAAACAGAATGAATATTGTGTATGACTCCCTTGAGCTTGGAGGACTACATCCATACATCTCTACAATGACTCAAATAATGTATTAATAAAGTCATCTGGAATGGCAAAGAAAGCATTTTTGCAGGACTCCTGGAGCTCATAAGAAGTGGATTCAACTTCAATGCCTCCTCCTTCATCTTACCCCAGACATGCTTACTAATGTTCATTACTGTTGACTGGGCTGGCCAATGCTGGAGCACCGTTACTTTCTTTGCTTTCAGGAACTTTGATGTGGTTGCTAAAGTAGGAGTGGCGCTAACCTGCTGAAGAATTTACCCTCTCCTGTGGTTTGTAATGTAATGGGCAGCACAAGTGTCTTGATACCTTAGGCTGTTGATGTTGCCATCCACTCTGCAGATCTTCTGCACACCCCCACACTGAATGAACCCCAAATTATGATTTTTCCTTCACCAAACTTGACTGATTTCTGTGAGAATCTTGGGTCCATGCTAGTTCCAGTAGGTCTTCTGCAGTATTTGTGATGATTGGGATGCAGCTCAACAGATGATTCATAGCAAACATCTGCCACTTTTCCAAATGATCAACTAGAAGTCGACTTATTATTATTTTTTGCTTTTACAACTGACATAGACAACAAGACTTTTATCAGGTAGTGTATTGGCATTCAAACCAGCTCTATTATTGTAGTAACCAACATTAGTGTAATGCATGTCATCAAGCTGAAGCAAAGTTTAGGACATTGTGTAAATGTTTAAGATATTAAAACTTTTTCTTTTACTTTATGAATGTGTTTTCTTACAGGCAAGTGGTGCAGAACTTTCTACTCTGAATACGACTCCATTACCAAGATAAATCCAATATAAAAGAAAGAAAGAAAGAAAAAAGACAGAAAGAAAATAAAAGGAGAGAAGAAGTCATCATCAGTAGATTGAGAGTTAGTTATAGTAAACTAAATACTGTAAGACTCTTTTCCCCTGTTTCAAATGAGGTTTAAGGCTAGCCAAGATGAAATTGCATGTTTGAGTTGTATCAACTCAAAGTAACTTGCGGTGAGATGTCTTAAAGTACATCAGTGTCATTTTTTGTCTCCAGGTGCACACCAGTAATATATTTTTCTAAGGCCATTTTTATAAATGTGGCTTAAATAGCCACATTTTTAGGTTGAGATAGGCCTAGTCCTGGCTTAATCTAAGCCCTGTTTGTGAAACTGGGCGTTAAGTACTAAAGATCCCAACTGGATTATGAGATGAAACACTTCTTTATAGCATTTGAGAAATACAGTTAAAGTCAGAATTATTAGCCCTCCTGAATTATTAGTCCCCCAAATACCCCCCCCCCCCCATTAGATTATAGATGTTAAAATTGTTAATAATAATGTAGAGCTTAAATTATAAATGAAATATTATTAAAAAAAATTATAATATTAAAAAAAATCAAGCCAAAATAAAACAAATACTTTTTCTAGAAGAACAAAAATATTATATGAAATACTGTGAAAAATTATTGCTGTGTTAAAAAAAAATATTTGGGAAATATTTTAAAAATAAATAAAAATAATAGAGGGCTAATAATTTTGACTTCAGCTGTACAATAGTTAGAATATCAGCTACGGGAAATAGGCATAGGAGATTATAGACTAAAATTATGTAAATTAATGTATATAAAGGAAGTGGAAGTCAAGAAAGATCATTTGTATTTCGTTCTTTAAGGATTTAAAGGACAAATATATAAATATATAACTTAATAAATAAGAACGAAGCTTAAGTGAAAACAGCAGATGGCAGTAATGCAACTTATGAAAGCCATAGACCTAAAAAGAAGAAAAGTTGCGTTTTCGTAACCGCTTATACGTCATCGGGTGGGCGTGGGCTATATGTGAATTTGCATAGGTCACGGATCATGTGAAGATTGTGAAAACGGCAGTTTGATTCAGATACCGGTACGTAAATCGCAGGGGTTTCGTGTCCAATGCCTTTTATATGCAGTACAAAATAGCTGTCCTGAACGCAGGTGTTTAATGTGAAGTCAGTGTATGTTAAATTAAACAAATTAACTTAAGATACCTCTCAGATTACATTAATACTGTTAGAATTTAAGATACCTGTCCCAATCCCAGGGCTTTTGTGTCAAATACTTTATGTATCATATACAGTAACATCAGATACCTGTCCTGATACCAGGTGTTTCCATGTATGATCACTTTTATATACAGTAACATCAGATACCTGTCCTGATCTCAGTTGCTTTGTGTATGATGATTTTAAATAAAAATAGAAAATAAATATAATGTGACGCAAGGGGGGATAAGGCTTTTTTGTTGGTAGCCAGACCAATACAATAACTGGCACACTGCAGCCAAATTAACATAACCTATTGCAATTAGAGCTCGACTACGCCACCCAGTACATTACCTGGGGCACAAAACACAGGTTCGTATCTCTGACAAAAAGGGAATGAGACGTGGATGTAGAAAAATAGAGTTCCTTTTATTACAATGCACTTCTCATTGGACCACAAATATTAAAATGACGGGCACATGTGCTTAAAAAAGGCACCAGAAGGCGATTACAAAATACAAAAAAAAAAAAAAAAAAAATCCTCATCCAACCGCAGGAGCTGGGGCTTACCAAAGTCAGGCAGGCTAGGCACTGGGCCCGAGAATGACCCACAAATTCACACGTGCACACTTTTAGATTCCAAAAACACCACAGTGAACGTCAATGCACACAAGTGAGCAAAAGACTGATTCATAGAAAAAGAGCCACGCCACACAGCAGCCCGACTGCCGGTACTTGACACCCCCAGCTCCTAGGGAAAGAAGAAACCACAATTAGAAAAGAGATAAAACATTTTAAGAAAAACAATATTAAATGGGCTCACAGGGGTATCACAAACAGACTACTTGAGCAGCTACCAGCCGCCCAGGGGCACGGAGGTGACAGACCCCAGCTAAAAATCCCAAACAGTATGTAGTAAAAGTTAAAGCACAAGGTCACAATATTGGAACAGGACAACGCACCAGAATGCAGGTATAGAAGCAAAGCAAAACAGTCAGTTAGACAACACTTATTTTAGGTATTCCCATTTTTGTAAATATGGAAAAAAACAAAAATCCAAACATATGCAAACAAAAAAAAACACTGATACAAAAGTACCAAAAATAAATAAACGACCAAACAAAAAAGCAAAACAAAAAGCAAAGCAAAAGAAAAGAAACAAAGCAGAATTAACAGAAACAAAACAGAATCAACAGAAACAAAACAGCAGCATCCAGCAGGTGTCAAGAGCAGGGGTCCGTTCTTCGTACGTGGATTACTCAGTTAGCTGGATTTGGATATTGACGATTTGACACGATCCAGGATCGTTTCGTTCTTCAAAGCTGATCCGAGAGTTGTTGTCATAGCAACAGTTCTGCTAGGTCAAACCTGATCGGGAGCAGGTTCAATTCATATAAACAGGATTAGATCGGCTCAGTTCAAGCAAAGACAATACAGAAAGTATGCTCCGAATTCTGATATTTTCTTACAGTAGTAGTTATATACACTTGGGAAAATTGTACATATTTTTTAACTATATATATATATATATATATATATATATATATATATATATATATATATATATATATATATATATATATAAAGTTATAGTCATTAATAAAATAAATAAAGTTATACATATTATTAAAACGTATGCAATCTGCACCCTCGAAATGAAAGTACAAAGACTTTCACCTGGTGCAAAGAGAAAACTTATTGATATGAACTTTTTAGATCGCTTTAGTACAAATAGTGTATAATAGAAATGCACTATATGTGACTTTTTTTTAAAAGCAATAATACATTTATGCAGTCATAAACATGTTTTGATAGTTAATATGACGGTGATTTGATGCTTCACAAAAGTTGCAGACA